GTTCAAAACATGAGTCTTGAATGATCTCATAACATCTGACTATCGAAAGATCCTCACGCTTATCATGAAAATCTCTTCCGCATCTGTTTTTAGAGTTCTCTTGTATGTTTCCTGTTTTGCTATCTTACTCCACGACAGACACTGCTGCAAAATGGAAGAATGCTTGTCGATAAAGATGAGAGTGAGAGGTGTATAGATACACCGTGGCAGAATGACTTACATATTTACATACCTAAATATGTGGTCGTGATCATACTTGCTTATTGTGGATAGAGTGATTGGTATTATTCGATGGGATCTTCATTTTTCTTTTATCGTCCTTTATCCACATAGTCCTTATATTGCCGTTATCGAACGAAGCTCCACAAATGAACTATGATGCCCCTTGCACAAATACGTAATATCGCTGGCAGTCCACTGTTTTCATATTGTTGGATTACATTGCTATCCCACAGGAGTCAAAGACTTCACTGATTGCCCTGCCACGATAATTTACCAAAGATTCCATAAATTGATCCTGGGCCAAAGGCAGCGTTATCCAAGAACGTTTTCTAAATCACGGAAGACCACGATGAAAAAAATGCAAGATTCTACTCCTGCCTTTACAAGAAACCCTTCAAGGGAAAACGGGACTTCCGCTGGGACCACCAACCTGACAATTCTTCATACATTGCTGCATATTCTCTTGGAATTTACCGTTGCACCGTAATTCTTTTCTTAGTGTTTATTTTATTTGGAAAAGAGGTCACCACGAATGTTCTAGATACGTGCAATTAATGTAGAAGGATGTACAAAGATCTCTTCACTGAAGTCCTGCAGTGAACTTCCATTAATTTACTAGTATTCGAGTCCGATCTTCGTCCTTGTTTTGATTCCCCACAAAAGTTCCATAGTCGAAGCAAGAATATCGAGTGCTGTGAGTTTATAAACTGGGGTGTAGACACGTTCATTCCTCAAGTTTTCAAAAGACTTCGGCACCAAGATAATTAGTTTGAACGCTTAAGGCCTGGTACATATTCAAGTCATATCGAACGGTTTATGGAAATATATTAAGGTACCCAAGGATGACTCTCTTCCAGGACTATTTTATTGAAGCCCGTATTTTCTTCCACCCCTGCCCCGCCCTCCAAATGCCTCTCAATCAGCGTATCAAAGGATTACTTAACTACTTAATTATAGATCAAGCAGCTGCCTCGACAACCTTGAAGCTACACTACAGTTAACCTACCGGTCCTGTGGCACATCGCAAGAAACCTTTAACAAGGTCAAAGAATTAACTCAATCTTACCCTGGGAAAATACGAACAAGGTGGTGCCCTAGCCACATAGGTATCCTAGGCAATGAGATTGCGGATAAAGCTGCAGGGAAAGCGGCGCGGACACCCTCCTCTGGTCCCCTCCCTCTACTCTGTACGGCCACGCTTCAGAGAGAGGTAAAGGAGCTAGGGATCAGGCTAGCAAGAAACCTCTGGAATACTACACTCCCAGTTCTATATAAGGACCTAGGCCTCTGTACCTGGTTCTTGAAGCCCAAGTCTCTCCAGTTACCAAGAGAGGTCCTCGCTCGCTTAATCGCTGCTCGTTCTGGACACGGAGACTTTACTGCCTACCATCTTCGCTTCTTTCACTTCGACGCCCTACTCAATTCAGGGAACTGTAAGTGTAGGAAGGCCAAGACCCAGTTCCACCTACTCTTTTGCAAGCTAGCAAACAACAAAGCCCCTAAGCTATTAGCAAAGGCTGAGAAGAACCCTCAACTGCTCTTTGGATCTCACTGCGAGGAGCTATTTAGCCAGGTCTACTTTAAGACCGGATTCTACACTAAAATCTGTCTCTCTAGATAGACAGGCCTTCTTTTATTTCTCTTTTCTCTTTTCCTATTATTGAATATCTCCTTTGTTGTTACCCTGGTTCTAGAACTAATTAAGGATAAGAGCTGTTCCGAAAGTGGAGCTTCTCTCTAAACTGTCTCTTGTAAATTAGCTCTTTCCGTTTACACCCCCTGTAGCCTAGGGCACCCCCCTAGCGTCATTTGCCCTATTTTGGGACTCTTTAGGACCTAGCCCACGCGAGCTAGAATAAATAAATAAATAAATAAATAGTAGTGAGTAGAATATAGTAGAGTATGGGTAGCGATTTCAACTACTTAATTAATAATTAAGTAGTAGTAAGTATATAATAATTGTTCTTAAATGCTAGCTTAGTTTTTCGCTCTCCCTTGTCGTCTTATATAACAAAACTCTACACGTTTAAGCTAGTTATAATTATAACTGTCTCCTTTAAGAGCCTCTTCCTATTCTTTGCCGTATATAGGTGAAACTCGGCTAAATCAGAGTAGTCGGACAGATAGACCGTAGTATACTAGGCCGCTATAGTACCTCAGGCCAACTTTCTCCGCACTAATTAATGATACTTAATGACTATTGATTACTTGTCGAATAGAGTAGAGTAGGGTCAATCCCTAATTAAGTAGAGTAGAGTAAGTACTACTACTCTACTCTACTTATCTAAAACGCTGCTCTACGCTGCTCTTAACTTTCTTGCCTTAAAATAACAACCAAGGCCTTTATTAGCATGTTCACTATACACCTACCAAAAGCACCACTATTATAGAAATGTCTGCACAATCGACGTTGTTATATAGACTGTTTAGGATGATTGTTCTTTGTGAATTTCATTAATCTCATAATAAGTAAAATGGGCCAATTTAGCCAATTATTTCAAGAGCTATAACATAACAAATTCCTAAGTTATACTTGTAGCAATGACCAGTCTCTTACAAGTAAGCATTTATCAAGGCTCTTGAAGCTTTTCTGGGTTAACCATGATGATAAATTCTTTTCTTCAATACATAGAACTTGTGAATAAGTTGAGAGAAGCTACCAGAGGCAAGATGATCTTATCTGTACCAATATAACTTTGGAGCGAAGTTAAATTTATGGATTGTACCTAGGTTCGCTTACAGGAATGGCATTTGAATCAGGGGCTCACAGTACGCTCGCTTGTACCTTGGCGGGGCCCTTGTAGAAGAGGAGATCGATACACCGATATTCTCACATTTTTGGACCAAGAAAACTATAACTCATCAGAGAATGTGATTCGAAAACGAAAGAGAGGTGCCCAGAATCCGCATGCTATGCAGAGATATAGTTTGAGCACATAGAGAAATATCTCCCGAGGAGTAATATATCCGAAGCATCCTATAGGTAACAAAGCATCACCCCAGAATACGACTTTTACTGAATACATATAACCATTTATTTTACGGGATTTACCATCATTTTCCAAAGTACAAGATGTAAATCTCGCTTGCCGGGCTAAGGCTAAAACAGAAAATAAATTCCCCCGTCTCTCCCCCACGTATTTGGGCCTAGAACCGCCTTTTGGTGTATCCGATTCTACTTCTTGGATGATATTGACGTCAAAAAGGAATTTTCCGAGAGGTCCAGACTTGATTAGATCGTGAGGCAAAGCCAAAAGTCGACACTATTCAATCTTCTCCTCGGGCTTCCATTTACTGGAGATGTGTATCTCTGAGGTTTCTCTGGATAGTTCCACTGACGTCAGCTGCAGGGCATGCAATTTCAGCCTGAAGACGTTCTAGATGCCAAAGCCTAGAACTTCCTGGTATAAAATGCGGGCGGGGTCGCTGCAGCTGCGGGCTGAAAGAGGCTTCTTCTATTCAGCGCAGATTATGAAAATGGCAACAGCGCTCGCTGCATCTCGGTAGCTGACCGGAAACAAGAGCGCCTAAGCACTCGGCTTGGAAATATTATTTCCATACCTTACCACATCTGCCTCTCGCGGATTCCTCCTGACATACTATTGACTACCAAGAGAGCTAGCTGTTCAATATGGTTATAGCGTAAATTGAACATGTTTGATAGTAATTAATGACGAAGCATTGTTTTTTTGTTTATTGCTCCTAAAATCGATATTAGTATCTTGGAAATAATCCAATTGGACTTGTTTGACAGCTCGCTCTAGACCCTTAGTCCCTTCCTTCAAACTAAGAGATAAACTAGCCTTGCCACCTTGACAGAATCTGTTGCGTGATCTTTGCAACGTACGATAATCTCGCTCGATCAATGGAAGTGTTTTAAATATCGAGGGATTAAAGAATAAACGTTTCGTCGATCTTCGATCGCATTACGTTTCTAAGGTCGAGGTTCTGGCAAGCCAGGTCAAGGTTTGCTGGAATTTCTCAGTTTTTTCAAGGAGGTCAAAATCTTGGATCCGGCGTCATAATGAAAACCGTGTGGTCATGCATGCGCTCGTTATGATTTAGGGGAGCTTATGGCTTGAGACATGTTGAAACTGAACCAATGATCCATTACCATTTGTCCCAACAGCTTGGGTCTGCAAAATCGAAGGAGAGGGTGGGGTGGCACAAAGCCCGCATTTCATCAGAAACCCAATCTTACGATAAGGAGAAAGGAGTGTAGACGTATTGTAAGAGATACGTTGCCTTGCATTCAATCATGCAAACCACACAGTACCGAACTTTGAAAATTATTCTACCTACACAAACTGGTCAGGCGAGTGGAACGTCCGATTTCTCGGTTATTCCAGTAAGCTAGAAGGATCAAGCTAATTTTCTGGGGCTTCGTGGATAAAGCTGTTTCAAGATGTATATAGAGAAACGACTGACAACATCTCGCATTATCATTCTAGCAATTAAAGTGGTTGAAATGGAGAGAAATTAAAGCGAACAAATGAGCAAAAGTCTAGAGCAGAGTGGATTCTCTCTTGGCAAAGGGTATGTTTCATTTTCTCGGTTAGTAATAATTCGGGTATGTATATATACGGAGAAGGGCAGACAAAACATTAGCAGACTATTCTCCCCACGTTTTCAACATCCATTCCAGCTTCATCACTCAGACACTCTGCAGGCGCCTGATCGGTACATGAGGCCTTTGGTCGTGGATAACATATCATTTGCTGAGCTGAAGCCCACTCTTAGCCTCTCTCACACACGTCAGATTGGAAAATAAGAGCCGCTTATTTGCCAGCACGGTATTGGCTCCAGAAGCTGTTCATGCGGGTGGATTGACCAGCGGTAAACTCCTCATAGCAAGAACTATTCATAGTTAGCATCTCTCTATGCAAGAGTTTCTGACATCAAAGATGCAGAGTTGGCAAGGGGATCGAAGTAGGGAGAACGTACTCAACAGTGTAGTCCATGTAGTTGTGGATTGGGTCTACACCGCCTCCGGAGCATGTGTCTCGTCCAATTGGGCATCCTGAAGCAGCAGAAGCCTCAGCGGGAGTATCCGAGACCGAGTCTCCGGTTCCAGAGCAGCCACCTTGGAAGGTGTGGTAAAGACCGAACCAATGACCAACTTCGTGGGTGGCTGTTTGACCCTCGTTGTATTGGGTCTCAGCACCCCCGGGAACGGTGCCAGATGCAATGGTGCATCCATCATAGTAAAAGTCGGTGCTTCCTGAGGGCGCAGTGGTTGGGAAGTAGCTGTAGGTGAGAAGTTAGTAAGTGGTTTCTTTTGAAAGGGCGATTGAAATTTGAAACCAATATTCATCGCCTTGCGGGTGAGAATACGTACCAGTATCCGAGGTAATCCATGTTTGGAACGAAGTACAAGTTCAAATCGGCGTATGTTCCTTTTCGGAGAGCTCTCTTCATTGCCAACTCTGATTGATCGCTATAGGAAAGTCAGTATTCAAAGCTAAACTAGGTATTGTACTGGGAAGCTTCGAACAATCATTTTGATTGTCCAAACTGTTTAAGATAAATGAAGTCTGCGTTCCTTGACCAACCAAGATAATTTGTGACAATGAAGATGCTTGTTCCGAAAGTTCTGTCGTTTAAATATGGAATGATGGGATCTCTTACTTTGCATAAGCAGTGTTGATAGTCCAGTCAGTACCTCCCATAGTGAAGGAGATAGCGTATGGAGCATAAGCAGTGTTCATAACAGCAAGTTGTCGGTTGATGGTGGCTTGCTATTTCTGGCATCAGTATTGTTGATTAAGCGAAATAGGAGACTTACACTAATGTAACCACCGCTGACGGAGCTGGATGAAGCCAAAACGTGGAAGTACACCTTGACTGAGATAGCATCGGCGGTGACATTTCCAGCAGCACGAGACATTTCTTCTTTCTCGGCCATCTTCAGAGAGACGTTGAATTGCTCCTCTGTGGGCTCAGAGGTACCACATTCTCTGTGAACAACCTCCGAGAGAGCTCCAGTAGCCGCAAGGGCGGAAAGAAGAAGGGACTTGAATTGCATTTTTGCGGGTAGGAGTCTGAATCGGAGAAGGGTTGAGAAGGAAGGACTTGTTGAGGGTGAAGAGGGAAGGAAAAAGGAGACTGGAAAAGAAGGGATATGTTTCTTAAATATATATTTTGGATTGCTCTGCAGGCAGTTTGAACCGGGGGTTTCTTTCAGGAAACGGACGTTTAACCAATGATCGTCTTTTAGGTGTAACCCACACCTAGCGGTGCCCGGTTTCCAACAGTTCCCTTGCGGAGGACATGTTCCTCATCTGGCCAACCACCTATCGCTATCTTTCTAAGCCTCAAGGAGCGCTTGCCCGTCCAAGAAGGTTGCTCCTTTTTCCACGACGAAAAGCCATTCGCAAGGCCTAGCCTAGGATACACTTGAACCAAAGAGCTATACCTTCCTCATTCATTACCTCCATACTCTGCGAGCAAGCTTTCAGTTGCCAATTGGCGGCTGGCTCCGCTGCAGCCAAGATATTTCGAACAATTCCTGGACTCTTCACTGCATAGCCAAGAGTCCTCGTAGATTAAACCCCCAATCTTGTTGGCATGTGTTCCTCACTCGGCTAAACGTTGGTGCAGTCAATTCTCATCAGGAAGTGTTAATCATGAACTCGGTTGGATGCAGCTGGTTGGTGGACTCCAATGTCCCCGGCTTCTAGAAGTCCTGCAGCTTTTTTTTAAATCGTAATGGTACCTTGCGACTAGATTCAGGAGACAATAAAGTATTGAATTAGTATGTTGGTGTCTGCATCGAAGCCGGGTTGGTTGATGGCATTTAAGATATGGCTTGGCAGATCTTAAGGCTTCGGGGATCTGGCGGGGATCTTGATAGACGGGCGATTGGGCTGCATGCTTACTGATCTCCAAGGATGCTTGAATTATGGAGCTGTAGGTGGTGTTGTGGTTAAGTTGACCAGTCGTTGGAGTCTTTGGTTGGGTGAGAGGGTTACGTGCCTCGTGACCTAGGGTCTTGGCTTTGCGAACTGCCTCTTTGGGAAAGCGGGGTCTCCAACTTCCTATCTAAGTGGAGAAGGATGGACGGTTGATATCGGAATTCATTGGACTCGGTAAGAGTTCTTAGAGGATTCAGGAGCGGCCCGAGTCTTATTACAATGCTTGATTACCTTAAGATAACTTTACCAACAACTCGGTCGGTTGGAGTGGGCACATTTTCAAGAATAAGCTTATCAACAAGCGGAACTATATGAACGGGCTTTATATTTTCCCAGAGAGACGAAGATGTTTTACTGCAGATAGACAGATAATACGAGCTGTGTTGATTTGGGTATCTTCGATTTGCCTCTTGTTATCGCAAAATTGTAAGATTACTGATGAATTGTAGGACCTCTACCTATTAATAACTTATATAGTAAAAGCAGATGCGACTATTTCCACGTGAATCAATACAGTCTTAAAATGTCCAGAGGAATGAGGGTTCTTCTATGAGGGATAAGTTCCATTGCCGTTTCTTTTCCTTTTCAGGAGAAGTTTACCGATCCGATGGATCAATTTCGGTGTGGCTCGGTCACGCCCAGTATCCCAGCACATGCCACTCCCAGCCTCCCAATGATACAGTTAGGACAATAACAAGTGAATCGCGGATCGCAAATCTGTTTCCTTTTTCCAGGTACAAAATTGCAGCAGTTGAGCAGTTGAACACAAAGAAATGTATCTAGAGCATAGCCGTCTTGCGCTTCTTATAATCGGATTGTGCTATCTAACACAACTCAGATTTGTAAAAGACTTCAATACTTCTATTAAGCGCCTTGTTAGCTGTGTCATAAACGCAGCTACTTAGCTAGATAAAATAATAGCTCTACTGGAAATGAAGAAAGAGCTAGAGAAGAACCCGAAAACACTCGATTACGTACAGTAGCATTTCAAATAGCATACGTTGTGATCTGTATAAGGAAAAATGAACAGTTATGAAAAGAAGGACATACTTAATTTGAAAGTAAATGACCGAAGGATAGACTCGCTTAGGACTTGCTTTCAAGCAAGTCCCAAGCATAGTAGGAAAATAGAACCCCGCCTTTCCCCCTTTTCTATCGCTAACCAAAGCGACATACCACAATTTTTGAAACCGAATTTTCATTTGTTTAAGCTGGATACATTGCCTTACTGTCAGAAGACGAGGGCACAATGTGGAATGGATAAGCTGGAATATAGAGAGAAGCTAGCTAGGGGAGAGCTGAGCTCTAATATAGGAGCTGTCTGTCGGCCTGGAAGTTTCCGGAATAGGACTAGCGCCTTCCATAGAATATGCTAGTGCCAGACAGAGTGCTCGTATCGTAACACTTCCTATAGAGACAGTATGGAAATGAAAACGTGGAGGATGGCGTCTACCGCGAGTCGGAAGAAGGATTGACAAGACTTTCGATTTGCCAGTGGACTCACGATGTAATCTTGCATTCATAAAGTTGTTCCATTGGATCCCAGTGAGCACCGACACTCTATCGCTTATTTCCTCAGAGCCGAGGATGACATAGATGCATAGAATCCGAAATGCGCTTAGAAAGGGCCATCCTACCCTACCTACTTGGACACTCATTCACATTTGGAAAGATGCTTCTTTAGTTATATATGTGAATATAGAGCGCACTTTCTTTTGCTATTAACTAGCAAATTTCACGGGATAAGTTCCTCTTGGCTCACTGGCCACTACATTCTAAAGCTAGCGCATCCTGGGGCGATTCTAGAGGCTTTTAGCCGACTGAAACATTCCTGTAAGCCGCTCCCTTTCTCCTTGGGATAGCTCTCTATCTTGATCTTATGTAGGTTTCGTACCGGCAGTAACGTATGTGTGAACAAAACTATATAGGATAATAAATGTAGAGGGCGTAGAAGCAGCCAGAATGGCGATATATGTAGAGTGGGATACAGACGTAATCCATAGCCCTCACAGTCTCTAATTACTAAGACGACCTAAGTTGAAGCCTCGCCAGAACCTATCACTTCTTCCTGCCAGACTTCCTTCGTATAAACCGCTTATGCCTTAGTATAACTATATTTAACAGCCAGTCAGAGGGTACACTTGTGGGTTCCAGCAGTTCGGGTAGACTAGAGTTAGTTTAGTAGCGAACGTCTATTCTTGGGACGCTTAGTGGTTGCTCTAGATAGCATACTAGGTATCTTTTCTAAGGCCCATATCCCTTTGATCAAGAATACAAGGTCTGAGTCATATTAGACAGATTAATAAAACTGTCGCAGGAAAAATTCTATTCCATTCAGAAGCTTGTTTACAACAGAGTTAGATTCAGCTCTTTCAGCTAAGCGAGCAAATTTTCAAATATAGACAGCTAATTCCTTATGAATCTAGACGTCTTGCTTAGTGTACTATAGTATCCCTTCCAGACCATAGAGGATAAAACGAAACGTACACTCGAAGTAGATACAAGTGGTTACGATAATTGGATCGAATTAAGGCTCAAATTCTTAGAACAGTGGCCTGGTTAGATGGTAACTTTGTTTTATAGCGGAGACGATCTAAAAGTGGATACCTTTAATTCGCTCCAAGTGCACGTTTGTTTAGTCCTCTATGGTCCGGAAGGGATAAAAAGCTTCTTAAGTGAGAGCGTAGGTTCCTCGAAACAAACAATAAGAGCGCTGAGAAGGAGGTCTAGAGAGTCTACATAATAGAGTTTTTCTACGCCACTTAATACTGACGTATACGAGACTAGCCCGGCAACTGCGGCGGAAAGACGACGTAATTGTATATTTCACCGAGTCTCTATCTAGGGTTTAGATATTCCTGTATTGTCTCGCAAATAGAAACCCGTCTCGAAACTACATGTCTTTCTCGTTTCCCTAAACCCCCCCTTTCTATAACTAGCTATCTAGGCGAGGGTTTAAATGCCTTATTCGAGCACTTCTTAACTCGAGGACTCTACATATCGAGGAGTCCAATTACGATTACTAGCGAAGAAGTAAGCGAGTCTTCGAGTATAACGGAAGAGCTCTGTGAGAGTAAAAGGGTCCATATAATATTAACACCGTCCGGAAAGAATCATGGACCTCTCTACATAGACCATGAGCCACTAGTAAGATCTACCTATAGCCTACAAGAAATAGCTTACGACCTTAGGGACTTTATATAGAGGCCTAGGTACTAGGTACGTTAATTTTCCTAGTACTTTTTCATAGAGCGTCCGATCTCCAAGTCCTTCTACTAGTTAAAATTTCTAGGTTATATTTCTCTAAGAACTCTAAGCTTCCTAAGTCTAAATAGGAGTACTATCTATATACGAGTATTCTTTCTAAGTCTCTATTTAGTCTCTACTATTTCTTTTCCCTATAAACTTCGATCTCCCTATCTCTATATCTTTATAAACAAACACAATGTTATGGTGGGGATCAAGGAATAGATTGTTCGCAAGGAGGGAAGAGAGACGCTCTTCGCACTCCTTAGGTATTTGTCTATCTACGGAAGGGTACACCCGCAACTTCGCTAAGCGAACCCTTATTCACTAAATCAAAAACTGTCACATACAATTAGTAAAGAACTTATTTCTTCTTAAACTTTTTCTTATCCCTCTCTTTAAATATAATTGTTGGTACGACCTGGTTGTCGTAAAGGGTGATACACAAACATAATCTCTCTTTGTATTCATTCGTGTATGAAGAGTAAAGGTAAAGAGAGGTGGTACCCTACAAGCTTAAGTATATGAGTGGCAAGCCACTCACATGACCTAAAGCATATAGATCCACCAGGCTCTCGTACAAGGTGCTATTCACCAGAATTATATACCGACAATAATAATATAAACCCTAATAAAGAAACAAAAATCTCGTTACTACTTTACTTATAACTCTAATAAGAATATTCTAATCTTCGATAAAACTCTCTAATAAACTAAATAAAGAATATAATACTTAACTACTATAGTAATATATACTATAATAAACTAATTTGAATATTAATTACTCTAAAAAAACAAATAAATAACCCTCTAAACCTCTAAATAAAAAAACTAAAATTAATTAAATTCCTACTACTAACGTAAATTCTCTAAATAATCCCCACTACCCCACTTAATACTAAACTCTAACTCTATACAAAGAGTCCAAACGCAAAAAGGTTAACTAAAAACACTTTTAATCTAATACTTCGCGTAAGATTTCTATTATTAAGAGATTATACTATTGAACCAGAGTATTTACCTCTTATAGTTAACGACATAGACGTATAAAAAAGAACGAGAAAAAGAGATGTTAAATAAGTGTATTACATTAAATTAAGATAACACTATTACCCGAATCTATTCATATAACGAAAACATAAACCCCATCTACAAAACCCATAAAAAGAACCGGAGATGCACTCGAATTCATCAAAGAATTCATGAAGTCTATATGGAGGAGTGATTATGGTAGAGATGGGATTACATACAAGTTACATCACAGAATCACAGTTGTCACAGGAAAAAGAGCATAGAGATATTAAATAAAAACAACTTTCATTTCATCTTCCTGGTCTGGGTATCTATCGCACTACAATAATCCAACAAAAAAAGAAAAGAAGAAAGAAAAGGAAAAAGAAAAAGAAAAAGAAAAAGAAAAAGAAAAGAACGGAGCGGGGCGGAGCGGAAGGGGACCTTGGTACAAAAAGAGGTAGAGGTAGAGGTAGGAGGGGGGGAAAGGAGGGGGAAATGGGGAGAGGACGCCAAAGAACAGAAACAGCAAACTCAACGACCAGAGGTCGAGGAGATGCGAGGGATACGAGAGGGGGGCAGGGCAACCTTCTTGATGAGGAGGGCCTTGAAGCTCTCCGAGACGTTCATGAACGTCTCCTCCTCATCCCGAGCGTACATCGTGTTGCGCTCGCGAAGAGCGGCAACAACGATGCCGGCCGTTTTCAAACGTAACGGACCGGGCTCGGTCTGGATGCCCGCCATCACCCCGTATTGGAAGTGCTTGAGGGAGGTGGACATGAGAGTGGTGGTGGGCACACCAAAGCACCCTCTGGTGCGAAGGGCCTCCAGGTGCACCTTCGCGTCGGTCTCGTCGACCAACTCCAATGGAGTGCGAGAGCTTGAGCCTAGCACTCGAAGCTTCGCCTCCGATAGCTTGACGTACTCATTCTCCGGCTGGTAATAGCGCGGAGGAATGATCTCGACAACGTAGAGGATATCGTATCTCATTTTGGAAAGAGTCTCCCAGCAGAGCTGGTCTGCCTCGTTCATCTCTCTGTCTGGTGGAATGAGATCGTATGACTCGCTGTTTCGGAATGGGTCAAACTCCTCGTCGTCTTCCTCCTCTACCATCTTATTTTTGCCCTTTTTGAACAAGGTGCTGCCGCGCTGCAAGAGAGGAATGCTATTATAGCTTGAGACACTTTCCTTGGAGGAGGATCGGCGTGGGGCAGCCATCTCCTTAGCTTGTTCTGCCTCCTCTGCCGGGACTGCTGCATCGTCGAGGGCTGGGAAAGGGGTGAGAGAGGTCTCGTTTTCATTGACCGATCCAAACTCCGGGCTAGATCGATACGATGCGCCTCTGTTGCCGTAATTTTGGACATTTGGCACTCTGAAGTTCGAGCTTGCCTCAAATTCAGCAGAGACGAATCCCACGTCTTCTTGCAAATCCTCTTGTGGATCATCCTGTACATTCGGTTCTTGCACATCTTCGTCAGTAAGAGTCATGAACTCTTCGACGGTGAACTCTTCAGATCTCGACGTATTATCTCCGTGTACATCGGCACTAGATGTATTTGGTGGTGCATTGCCAGTGGCCGAGAAAACAGATGTCCATGGACGATTAGAAGGTTGATAGTTGCCTGAATCTAAAGTGACAACATCCTGCTGTTGAGGGTTGATAACCAAGTTGGGATCGGCAGATTGACGAGAACCATAGATATTCTGAGCAGCGACAGATCCACCAGTTTGAGGACGAGTTCTTGGAATTGGGGGCAATGGAGGGAATTGATGTGCATTATATGCGGAACCATCTCCGGGGTTTGCGGGAAGGGGAGGAAACTTGGACTTTCCCTTGCTAGGAATACGTAGTGGTGGATATAGACCACCTGCTGCTCCACGGCTGCCGTCAGATTCTGGTGAAGCTGGTCTCGACGCTAGCTGGTCTAAGAAGGATGTGTCAACCTGTCTGCGAGTAATATGTCTCGTGACCTGGGAAGTCATAAAGAGGACTTGTTGAGAAAGGTTGGTCAAGAGACGATTCGCAAAGGTCTGGAGCTCTTGACGTTCTCTAGGAGTGAAGGTTTCCCGAGGCTGACTATCGAAAATAGATAGAACAGCAACAGTTTGTGTATTATGAGCGAGCAAAGGGGTAGCAGCGAAGAACCTAATGTCGGTTGGGCCAGTGACAAGTGGATTTCCAGCAAAACGCCAATCCTATGACAATTAGTATTGTTAAACAAAAGGCGTAAAGGGATTACGAACCTTGTGGGTATCTAGAATCACGACCGGATCGATACTATACAGTACATGTGCAGCCATGCTGACTGATCGAGGAAGCTTGCCGTTGATACCCATCCCTCTTTCGACCGCAAAAAACTCGGTGTCCTCATCGAATAGACTAACAGCGACGCCTGGGATATCAAATCTCTCGAGAGCTCGCAACACCAACAACGCGAATTTGGGTTTAAAGATCTCCCAACGCTCCCACAAAGGCTGGAACATTTCATTGTTCATGAGGCGTTCACGATCATTAAGTGCCTTCACGGCAGGAAGAAATAGGAGAGCATCGTTTCTTGGGGGTGGTTGCGGTGGGTTGGAAACCACATAATGTCCCTACATAGAGAGGTTAGAATTAGGTCAATTCAGGGACAAACCGGGGAATGGGAAAGGTAGAGATGATGAGAAGTAGATCTGAGCAATAGCTGAAAGAAAAAGTAAAGACTAACTGATGAGTAACTGGAAAGATAAATCTCCCAACGTCCAACAAAACCTTCAGACTTGGCTGAATCGTGGGCAATCTTAGAAATGGCCTCCTGACGATCGCCTGGCAGCTGGTAACTCTCGAAATCATAAAGAGCGCCGACATTAGAGATGTCATCGACCTGCTCATCAGAAGCAACACCAGCATCTGGGATATCATCGACCTGCTCATAGGCAGAAGCAGCGTCATCATCCGGAATATCATCGTCGTGTTCATAGTCGTAAGCAATACCAGGATCCGGGATATCCTCGTCGTGCTCAAAGGCAGAAGTAGCACCAGCATCCGGGTTACCATCGCCGTGCTCATAGGCATAAGTAAGACCAGTATCGGGAATATCATCGGCGCGCTCAACGGCCAGATGAAATGTTTGTGGACCGATAGTGTCAATACTTGCGCGATCGCCTCTGCCATCATCAGATACATCGTACATACTATCATAGTCATTGTCTGGCGATGCTTGTCGGTCAGGTGATACATGGTCAGGGTTGTCGTATTCACCAGCGAGTATGCGGTCTCTCAAATCAGCTGGAACGTCCCAGAGATGGCCATGCTCTTCGTATTCTTGCATGGGGGTTCTGATTGGAGTTCCGCCTGGGAAAGGCTCCAGTACGGTGCTCGTCGCCAAGACCTCTTGCTCGGCCGGCTGCTCATGTTGACCTTCGGGAGATTGTGTCATGGATGGAAGAGAGGCGGGTGGATCAACGGAAGAGACTGAAGAGCGCGAACCTGTATCATCGCTGGTAGTGGCCATGACGAGGTTGCGTGGTCGTTGCCGCTTATTACGACGGACTTGCATTTCTCTCTCGAGCTTGCGGAGCTGTCGACGGGTCTGCGGAGGTGGAAAGACAGGTCCGTTGTCTTTCGCAGGCGGGTCGGGGAGAGGCTTATCAGTCAGAAGGCGGCTTTCGGCGTGGGGGTGTGCAGATGCAGATGCAGATGCAGATTGAGATTGAGATGGGGATCCCTCAGTGTGAGGTTGGGCAGATTGCAATTGAGATTGAGATGGTCGATGTGGTTGTGGGTGACGATGCTCGCCAGGTACGGGGAGGGGGATGTGTTTTGCTGTTGGACGTGACGGCGGGACCTCGACACGAGGCGCCATCTTGTGCACTAGCGGGTTAACGTACGAGGCTGGGGAGAAGACACCAGGGGGAGGGGCGGCAAGACCGGCAAGGCCATGCGGAAATTGGCTGGTTGCGTTTAGCGACGATAACCGCTCCGGTCGCTCAAATGCTTCATGATGATGCTCCTCCTCAGCCTCATCTCCTCCTTCATTTTCAACTTCTTCGTAATGATAATGATCCTCAGATCCCTTTCTGCCAAAGAGCCGATTTCTGATCGACAACTTGCCATCTTTGAGTGACGAGTGACTCTTGGAGAGCTTCGGCGGCGCCATGATGCCAGACAAGTTTACAAGGTCTTTTGGGTGAATACTTGGTTACTATCCTTGGCCAAGCTGACGGATTTTAGGGTTGTGCGAGGAATAGATAGACTCGGTTTCCAGAGCAATGCTTCTGCTCAGATATATTAGCTGCTGGCCACAATAAATGCAGTAGTCCTGTATGGCAGAGTTCTTGAGCACATTCTCCTTGAGCACAATATCCTCAAGGAAGACATGACCAGGAGAGATTCTGCAATGGACATGGAGTCCAAACAGAAATGCCAAAGTCTCTCAGGGCCAATGAGCACTGGGCTTTGTGCTAGGCGAAAAGCGCAGACAATCCTTAGAGCGTCTTGAAAGAAAGATGGCAACGTACCTTGGTAAACAGAGAATGGTATCTTTTGTATCAGCACTCAACTACAGAGGAGTTCTTTTCACTTTATACAGTGTCAGCTCTTGCTTGCAGCATTGGCAGGCTGGGAAGATGAGAACATGTAAAAAGGGGGCATTGTCGCTATTGCAAGTGCAAACCCTTTTTAGGGGTACATAAGAGTGCTTACTATGAAAGGGGCTCAGGAGAACTGAGCATGAAAGGTGTTTTCTTTCCTTCTTGCTTTTTGAAGCGAAGTGTGGAAGTGTTTTGTGAAGTGGTAATTTTGGGCACAACTCAACAGGGGTTCTATGTATGACCTTGAAATTCTTTATTCACGTCCAGACAAGAATAAATTGTTTCAAAGTTGGAAGAATACCTGGGAAAGAGGTTAGCAATGCTTTTGTTGATCAAAATCTTGCTGATTGCAGACTGATTGCGATCAAGCAGGGTGTTGTTAGGCTATAGATCGAAATACTCACAGTGCGGATCAGGGATTTGTTACAACGACGATCTTTGCACGCAGATACAATCTGAATGCCTTTCTTTTGTTGCGAAATGGTACAGAAGATTCCTGCCATTCAAGTGTCAGCCAAAGATCGGAGAGTGACGGACGACAATTCCAGCATCAAATGCGAGGTCAGGTGAATAGGAAGACAGGGACAACTTACAAGATGGAACTACACGTTCTTGTGATAGAGAGCAGCTTGAGATGGTTGTTCCAAGCTTGCACTATCGTGGATGGAAGTGGAGTTCAGTCTGTAGGTGTCAGTGATGGTAGATCGGACAGTTGTGGGCAAGACGGTTGTGGACAACACAATAATTTGAATCTGTGCGCAACGTGCATACAGGTCGTCAACCCATGAAATAATTACATACCTTTGGAATTGAAGGATACGACAATGGTTTTCAATCTTCAAACAGCCACAGCCTTTGTGCGCTGAGTTGGGTTGGGATCAAAGCAATCGATGGATGTCGTGGTGCGGATGTCTTTAGAGTTTTGAAGTTCGAAAGTTGGCGAGTGCGCTTCAAGAATATCTTTAGCGTGGCGGATCGGAAGCGTAATTATTTTGTCCGACTGCCCTATCAGATTTTTGTTCAACTAGCGCGACTGACAGCCTGATTTGCAGTTGTGGGATGTGCAGCAAAGTGCATATGATGGCCGCTGAATTTCGCTCCAAGAGCAATGTGTTTGAACTGATGCTCCACCTTTGACACCACAAGCCCTCCCAAAACATTCAAGTGATAAAACAGGAATGTTTTGATAACATGAACATGTGTTGCAACATCCTTCAAAAGTCCAGCAAATGCATCAAAACACAAAGGATCAATTGCGATTCTATCTTCTGCGGCTCTGCCCCAAAAGCAGTTGTTGACTAGGCGAGGCCTCAACCCACAACATGACATATGACCACAACAAAGTAAGAGAAAGCAAGTGGTTACAACAAGGGCTACCACATTTTTGTGCAGGTAGCGAGCAACCTTACTTATACCAAGAAGAACGAGGGGAGATCGGATCGCACACAAGGTCCAGAACACTGGAAAGCCATGTGGAATAACTCCCGCGTCTATCACATATGACAGGAACTCCAGTAGACATTGTGGAGGAAAAATGTAACAACAACAAGGACAAGCGAATAGTGATCAGCACAGGGAGTTGGGAGTTGGGACAGATGCTGCTGGCTGCAAAGCTCCAGCTTCAAGCGGCACCAATTGTGCCTCCATCTCGTACATAATCCAACTGCCACAGCGAGAAAAGATCTCGTGGAACCTTCAGCAATGCCCACAAGTCGCCAGAAGCAGCAGCAGAAAGGAAAAACAAGGGTCTTTAGGGGAAGATACAACCAATGAGGGAACGAATTCCCTGACTCCTTACCTAACTCACAATATATCTCGGCTGGCCGCTGCATGTTTCAACAACTCGTCGAAAGTGGTCCTCCACTCCATGAAATACACAGCTGCCCCTCCCTGCAGTGGTGTGTGAGCACTCCGCATTTTGGCATTGAGCATCTGCACACTTCTGCACAAACACGACTGGGAGATGCATAAGTCCCTTCTGGGTTATGGGAATGATAGGGTCTTATTTGCAAGAGAAAACAGTGGCTTGGATATTTCTTTTTTGTACAAGTGGAGTGTGGAGAAAGGGAGAAGGGTATGTCTTGTAGTTCAAATGTCGTTGAAAACCCGGCCGAACCTTAGTCCGGGAGTGGGGACAATGTAGAGTAGGCGCCTCAAAGTTCTTGGCTCATTTGTACCTGTCCTGTGTCACTCTGTGAGAACCTCTCTGCAAAGGTTATCAACTAGAAAAAACGGTGGATCTTAACGATCTCCAGAAATTTACATTCCTTCTAAGAAATCAAAGTTGAGAGAATTGAGAACCGTAGAAGTCCCAAGAATCTATCATAAAAAGGGTTGAAGACGTGGGAAGCCACCATCAATCAAATTGCTTTTTTCATGCTGGTTTCAGAGACCTGATAACAAAATCCTTCAGACTTCGAAAATCGAAAAAAGCCCTCACTCCTTGCTTCATCTTATTATTGGTGCTTCGAAATATCCGCATGTTCCTATCCGAAAGGCGTCGACGACATGATGTCGGCAATCGAGTTAAACCAATCTCTATTGGTCTGCATTTGTATTTCTGGTTAAGAAAAATGCCTTGCATCAAAAAAAGAAGTTACAAATTTTCATACATGTACCCATTTCTCAAACGTAGCCCGAACGACTCCAAGCCAAATGATGTCTAACCCGTGTCCAAAGCAATCGCAGGAAGCGCCACCCAAAGCTTTCGATACCCAATGCCGTCATACTACAAAACAAAATCCAAAAGCGTTGCACTCCACTTGATTACCCAACCCCAAACTCATACATCGTAATCCGCAAACCCCGCATCCGCCGAGTCTCTGTTTATCAAATAAGAAAATTTGACTCCATTATGCTTCACATATTCCGGGATATCATTATTAGGACGTATTTTCGTGTAAGTCTCACCCTCTCGATCCCATAAATCCAAGCCTTTCCTTATTCTACCAACAATACGTTTACGGTCCTGGAATTTCTCTTCATTGAGACTTGTATGTGAAAAACTCGCCATTTTAGAAAGCACCTGGCTGATATTGCGAAAGCATGTGCTGCAATGCCAACCAGCATTCCATAATTCTGCCTTGTCGTACAACCTCGATATTGGATTTCCGCCGTCGCCATTTCGAAGATTGTATGGGAGGATCGTGCGAGACGGCCCACGGTAGACCGTAGCTTGGGGATGAGCCCATTCTTCACCGTTGTGTTTCCATTCAAATGCATAGTAATAAAATTGACTCCGGAGCGTCAGTCTATGCGGGAACTGACAGTTCCTCAATATGGTTATTGTTATTGGTCTTGGGATCTCGTCGATGTCGGCAACGATCAATACATCCCCAATATTTGCCTTCTTTTCCCCCTCCAAGCCTGGTATAACTTGTGTATAAAGAGCGTTTCGTTGATGGTCTTCGTAGTCCCATGCCCGACTAGAGCCGACTGGCATGTCCTCCACTGCATGATAGATCATTTGCGAATGGAATTCTGCAAAGCGAGACCAGTTTTCTTTCAGCACAAGCGGTTTAGGCTTTCCGGTAAAGGTGTATGGAGACTCGAGGATAACGAAGTAGTCAACATGCGCAGCTAAGGTATGGAGGCGAATTTCCAGCCAGTCAAGCTCATCGTTGATCATAAAAAGATCGTAGACCTTCCGCTGAGGGGTTCGTTGGGGGTATGGTTTAAATTTATGCTGCGTGCATATTGCTTTGCTTTGCTCGATGGGTAGGGGTTCTCGAAGTCCAGTCAAGGAACTTGGGGAGACGCTCAATTGCTGACGAAATGAATTCTCGAGCTCAAATGAATGAGTGGTGATAGTATGTTCAGTATTCGTAGATGGTTCTTTAGATTCTTTATACAAGAGCGTTAGCCAGATCAGAAGCAATCCAATTGTCAAACTCTTCCACCGATAACGAACGGTCCTCGAAAACCGTTGCAAATGACGGCGATGGCTAGCAAGGAGCAGCATGTTATTGAGCTTCCTTCACCTCTTGTCCTTGTTATGGCAGCTTCATTGCAAATGAATGCGTGAGAGGCGGGATGAACAGGACTTATTTGCATGTGTTGGCTTGATGGCCTCAAAAGGCCACTGACATTGCCCTGACCCTGGTGTCTCGTACCAACAAGCTAACATGGAGTTCGCAAATATCTCAAACTCGAAGGTTGCTCCAATGCTTGTTGGTGGTTTCAGCCACATCATCGTCAGAAAAGCCAATGCGCATGATAAAATTACCCCTCTAGAAATAGTGGGGCCACCCCATGTTTCATTCCAACCCTTGGCTTGGCCTTGGGTACATACACATTCTCAAGAACAATATTCATGTTAAGGTCATTGAAGCAAGTAGAAAGAAAAATTCAGGTTTGCATTGTTTTTCTCCGATATTGGGATATCAGACTGCTCTTCAAATCCAATTCCACGCGCGTAAGATTATGAGTTGGGACTGGAATTATTGAATTCCGATAGGAGTTGTGGATTTGAATTATATGCTTCTTTTTCCTGTTCAATTCGGGCTTTCGAGGTCGTCACTCAAGCAGAATCATGTTTTGCGCATCATCTCAGTCGCGGATACAAGTGCTATGAGACGCTTCCCTGGACTGGTCTGGACTGGTCTAATTCAACAAAGCTTTTCCCCTTACAGTAGAGCCTTTTTTCTTGGACAAAATGGATATCCAGCATAGACTATTGCACTTATTTGTCTATACACTTCAGAGGGTCGGCTGGAGAAATTAATTGTCAGTCACAGCATGGGTCCCAGTTTCTTTTCTCAAAACGTTGTCAAATGTTCAATTTCGTTCAAAAGCTTAGCATAATATGCTCTACATATATACACAAATAACCAGTCAAGCTCTATTTCTCCTGAAGAAGTCTTCCCACTCCATCTAAGAACTGCAGATGCACATTGGCGTAATCGTTGATATGCTTGACACAGGCAGATAAGCTATGAGTTTGTTTCTTGTGAATAAAACTTCCAGAGTAGCAATCTTGGTTCAATTTCCCATGACTTCTTTCTGTGCTTTCGTTGAGAGGTCACATTAACAGCTATCTGTGAGGTAGAAACAAAATGATCCTATCTGAATTGTCCGGTGGACGCCGTAATTGCGTCGGCCATTACCTGTTTCAACGACCTGAAGTTTTAAGCGAGAAACTCCCCACAACCTTTGAATAATAGAAGGTTGTTTTTACCTCACATTCACCTTTTTCCAAACCTTCCACAAGTTATTGTATGGCAATAATTCTAAGTTCATTTTACTATGACTGATCTTAAACTCTAGTTTGCTTTGTGGATTCGCCTGACAAGCGAAGTAAACAAAAGCACCAAAAGACCACCCTTCATAGTTAAGCTATAGCCACATGTCCCTTCAGCATTGAGCTCTGCCATAGAATCTAGCAGAAGCTGCTAGTAAGTAAACAAAAGTGTGTAAAAGTGGGCTGCGGCTATCTCCTTTTGATTGAAGCCGAACCCCTTTTCAATACGTAGATAGGCGACGTGAGGCATTTAGAGTAGATTCTACCTCAACGGCGGGATTCGGCGCTTGTGACTTATTGAGGACAGGAAGCCGCCGCCTAATTGTTGATTCAACAACTCGCAACACTGTGTGAGTCTCTGATTAGCTGTCGTCAAAGTATTCCAGCTGTTCTTGGCACTTCAGGTTTCTGTCTATTTAAGCATCTCTATTTTTCAAGTTCTTTGACTCTTTTTCTTATCTACTCAAGACCACTTCCACTCAAAAGTCTGCTTCTTTGAACTTTCCACCTTCTATTCAAAGTCCATCACACTCCTTCAACCCCACACTCCTTCCAACGATACACCACCGTTCAACAACCGCAGTCAACATGAAGTTCCTCATCACCATTCCCTCTTCCATCACTTTCTTCGTCTCCCTTGTCCCAGGCTTCGCTGGAGATGCAACCTGGTATGATTCAGCAGGAGGAATTGGAAGCTGTGGTGCTCAGCTCTGGGTAAATTTATCCTTCCACCTTTATATTTCCCTTCGTACACCACTAACACCAAGATTTCTTAGCATGATTCTGATATTGTCGCACTTGGCCTTGCTCATGCTGGCAACTGTGGACGTCGTATTTGGGTCTACTACAACAACAATGGACGCCAAGCTACCATTAACGCTCAAGTTCAAGACTTTTGCCCAGGTTGTCCTGGTGACAACAGTATGTGCTTTCTATATTCCTTATGCCAATGTCGTCCTTGATCCAGCAGATAATTTTCAACACATCTTCGTTCAGCTCCGTTCAGCTCCGTTCTCTCATAACTGACTTATTGATGCAATGCTGACTCTAATATCTTCAACAGTTGATCTCTCCCAATCCAAGTTTCAAGAGATGGCAGGCGATTTGGGAATTGGTAGAACTCCAATCACATGTATGCAAATACCTACAAATACTCCACCAGACCCTGGTATCTTTCTGCTGACCGATCGATAGGGGGCTTCTTATAAATTTGTGCAGAGGCCATGAATTCAGATTCAAAATTTTGATGGGTATTACATTCTGGATCAAACTCATTTTGGTGAATATGTTTCAGATTGGGGTCTTTAGACCAGGGAAAGAATACACAATTGGCAATACCAGTTTTTGATGACTGGAAGTAGATTATGGGATCTTGGAAGAGAGATCAGAATCAAGCAATAAAATTGGAAAAAAATGCATTTTACTTGACATCTTTGTGATCTCGTGATTGGCTTTCAAACTACATCAAGTATTTCTCTATTCACTCTTTCTATTTTCTTATCTCGCCTAGTAATGACTTCTTTTTCTTTTGGTTGCTATTCACAAAATGCTTATAGACTTGTTTACCTGCCGGTAAGTCCTGTCAGCTAAATTATAGACGTCAATGGATTCTAACAAGATGGAAAAAAAAGAGGGATCAAAAAAGCTCTAGCATCAGAAGCCTCTTGAGTATTGACCTTCTTCAGAAGACTTGGATCTGACTTTTTTGAAGAGATGATGATTTATTCTTAAGGGAGACTATTGTTGGTAAGCACAACATTGCATTCCTATATTCATTGTGCGGTTGCGATAATGGGAGTGAACATTTTTTGTAATTTTGGCCGCAGACGAAGCACTTTGTGCTGACTCTCTGTATCTTGGATTGTGTTATGAAGTAATCTTGAGTATATTGATTCTATACCTAATTTCTGATGCTGAAATGAGAGGGTCATTTTATCCCCACCCATCCTCAAAGTAGTTCTGACATTCCGGTCTGATGCAAAGGTCTTTTTACAAATGTGAACCACATCTATTTAGTTTGACCTCCCCTCTCTTCGCCCTCTCAGCTTTTGCATAAAGGCTAGCCATATCAAGATCAACCTTTACAAAACTCCAAATCACATTCTGCTTTTAAAACACAAGGAGAACAAAGGTTATATTAGACGTTTGGCAGAAACATACTTGTTTTGAAGCATAGCTAACCTTCACGTGTGACAATATCAAACACGCACAGAAATCTGAACGCATTTCTTGAACAAGTCAAGAGACAAGCGAGTATATAAGTCTATTTATCAAACTACAATTCCTCGTACCCAACCAAAGTCAGTGTTGACTATGTCTCACCAGGTGGTTTCTTAGGCCTATTCCCAACTGTCAGCGCTAGAGGGAGCCCTTCAACAGTTTTCGCCATTTGATCACACTTGCTTCTCTTTTCCCCACCCACTTTCTCCGAGCTTTCTCCTCCTCTCTTATTGGAGCTTTCTCCTCCTCTCTTATTGGAGCTTTCTCCTGTTTTCTTACTAGAGCTTACTCTTGGTCTCTTAATCTTTGATGGATCACTAGTAGGATCCGTTATCTTGCTTGGATTCTGGCTCCTAGGTGGTGGCCTTTGAGCCCTTCCTGGTCTAGCACTAGAGCTCTATTTGCCAGTTCCTTGTTGCGACTTGGTTTTACCTACTCTCCCTCTTGAGCCCTCCTTTTCTCCGATACCTTCTTCTTTCGGGTCCTGTGGAAGTGATTTCTCGGGTGGATTTCGGGAGCTTTTGTCTCCACCTTCATCGTAGCCCTCATTCCCGCTCTCGGAATCTTCTGGCTTCGTCCGAAGCGTCGGGAACTTAAGTTTTCTCATACACCTCTTCACCCTTGCTCTGAAATCCACTGCTTTCTGATCTTCCTGAGTCGTCGCTCCACAGATGGCTAATATCTCTCCGATTTCTGAGTATATCTTTTCCATGATTGTAGGCTTATACTTGGAGTTACCTTGTGCGAATAACACATTTGCACGTTCAAAAAGAGCTTTTACCGATCCCTGGGCACCTGGTGCCTCATAGCTTTCAGGTAGCAGACTACAAAGTAGTAGACAGGGAAGTTTAAGTGAGGGAAAGTCTTTCTTTTTGACGTTATATAAGCACTCATCGGCTTCTGTAAAATTATTCGTACGGAATGCGGAAATTGCTTTATCGAGGTTCGCCTGGTCTTCCCCCGCCCCCTTTCTGAACTTCCGTTGTCCCCTAAGTGCTATTCTGATGACACTCATCTGTCGTAATCGAGATTCGCGGAGTTGCCATTGTTCTACTTAGGTCCCGGGCAACGGGGGTGGTGGTAATTCATAAGAGCCAGGGTCGATCTCCTAAAATAACAAAGATATTTGGATTAACTTATGCCCTGTCCAACTCCGCCTCTCCTTCGAGTCTTTTACTTACTCCTAGTTCGCGTTGAAAGTCTGGCCCTCTGACGTACCCCAAGTGATAGGAAGCACCATTTTTTCTCTCCGCTTCCAAGCCATATATTTTCGGAATTTTCAAAGCCAGTCGGCCAAGTGAGCGGACACAAGCATTCAAGAATTGTTCTTGCCCGATGTTTTCAAAGTACACGCTTGATATAGGATATTCGTACAGTTTTGCTCCATCATCGTACTTATTGGTTTTGAGTTTTGCTATATTGGACCTGAGGCCATGATAGTAAGCATAACTTGGATATGTACGACAAACTGCACCCAGAAATGGGTAGTTCAACGAGAAGATCATTTGATCTTCAGCGCGTTTAAATTCTGACTCGTCTATGGTATATAGAGGCTCAAGTACCCCACCGAAGAACGGTTTCAGAAAATGTCAGTAAAAATAACCGTGGAAATCACTCCACTGCTATATATATTCCTACTTGATTTTCCCACGTCCACCCTGCCTCGCCAACATCTTCGTTCTCAAAAATCTAAAGAGCGACGTCTGTTAGCCACTGACTCAGAGCCGTCGAAGTAAACAAGGTATTACAGGTTCGGGATCCTCTCCATCAAAACTCATTAGGGTAGTCGGGTGTAAGCCTTTTAATATCAGGATTGAAAAACATAACACTTCTCGTGATTGCATGCTTTAAAATAATATCAGCCTGTTACTCCCAATATTCCTTTTAGGTTATAATCGAACCATTGTCTCATGTACAAGCTACTCAGTCAGCTGGAAGGGTGCAAATATAGATAGATGTATAACTGACTGTCTTGGCTACAGAAAACTGTTGAGCAAGCTTTTCTGACTCAAAAAGTCCACCATTGATCAATGGCTCAATCAAATATAGTACTATAAACGATTCCAAATTTGGTTCATCTTTACTGCAGTATCCTGGGCGGTTCGCCATCGTATAACCTCTGTACTTATTTGAAAGTGTGGGTGCCAGGGCGAACTCCCACTGTACGATAGGTTGCCAGATTTCTTAAACATCTTTCCCAACGTTCCTCACTCAGCGGGCCACTGTCATTCTTCAGACGAATCCAGTGAACACCGTATTTCTGTTGCATTGGCGTTGCTTTATAAAGCCGGCTCCCTTCGATAACCTCCCATTTACTGAACATCAAAGCTTCGATACTTGCTCAAATTAGTACAGCAAGAAAGATAGTAGGGAACACCCTCTTACTAGGGGAATAGTTTCATGTTAGTCAACATCATGGTTGCTAGGCGCAGGCAAGGAACTAATGTGTCCCACACCACAGGATTATCAATCGACCAGGTCCCAAACACGTTATCTCCAATTTTAACGTCCTTTGCTTTTTTATCCACCCACCTAAGCTTCCGATATAATGGATGTATAGGACAACTCAAGTAATTTGGCAGCGCATTCTGTAGCCCCCAACAACCCATATCCGACAACAGAGATATATCGAAATCTCTCAGGGCCCGTTTCTCTTTTTTTCGCAGCATATCGTCGAACTCCACCTCCTCTTGAGTAAAGACATAGTTTTCATCACTGGGGTCTGGGATGGGACCCTATTTCACCATCAGCTTTTGCCTGCTTCTAAGAGGAATTGAAAATCTAGGAGTGGCTTCAACACATTGAGAGGCTCTGCGAGAAGTCGTGTTTAAATGCCTCAGAAATGGCAGAAAATAAATGTCTAGCTTACTGTCTCATGACGTAACTTTCTTGCATCGAGAATCTTTTGGTCTTTGACGAAAGTGGCCATATTCTAGGATTCAAATAGACTTCTTTGCGCCATCCAAACGTACGAAATTTATCCGCTAAATCAGTCCAAATCGTGTTTCAATGATTCTTGTTGACCCCTAAAAACTAAGTTTGGGTACGACCACACGGTTCGGCTTTACATTAAAAAGGGGGTTTTGGTGGTTTCCGATCGTTGTTTCCACCTTTCCTTTGTTGATCAGTTAAAATAATTTGCTCTGCCGCAAACAGCGTTCGGCATTTGGAATCCCATTCCATTCCATGCCCGCCTCCCCCTCACTAGAAGGATTTTATTCTAATTAGGTAGAGTTCTAGAAGGAGTCTACTCTATACCCCTCGTCCTATGGAACTTCTATAGAACAAAAGCTCATGACCAAAAAAAGTCCACCCAGCTCGCTAGACTAATAGGAAGCTTTAAACTAGTATACCCTTATTACTGAAGTCTACGACTTCCTTTTTAGACTATGTTTTCCGAAAATAAGCTTTAGGGAAAGCACCTTGGACGATGGAGGACTTTCGTAATTACCCTCCCCTCCAGCCCCAAACCCCAAAAAAGCCATGACCGACTATCCAGTCTTTGTTTCCGGGGGGCTAATTGCTCTTTGTTAACCAATCCCTACCGAAGGCCTTTGCTGCTTTGTGTACTTGCTTGAAAGGTGAGAATCTTTATTGAAATCACTTCCGTGTAAATAATTTACAGACGGTGCAAAGCAATATGATCTCCAGGATTCTCTGCTCTAATGATTAGTGCACAGAGCGAGTGCACAGTCAGGATTGTCATGTTAGCTCGTTGTCAAAATGCATAAATCCCAGTGACAAGGGAGTGCTTGTAAGCAGCGATGGCTTTAGTCTCGTAAGTTCAATTACAGCCTCACTTTCGAAGCTGTCACACACCGCTATAACTTAAGTGGTGGTTGTTTACGAAATACACAGCAAGACTTCATGGTTCGTCAAGCTCCACAGACCTCATCCGGAGAGGATCAATTTGCAGTTTAAAAAAAATCGTGATCATCTATCACTACGAAGATACAATTCAGGCCAGAAATTTTTCCATTCTATTCCTGGGAATACATCGAAGCTTGGCATCATTCAGTGACTCCACGACATGTCCCCTAGGAGTGTTGAAATAACCCAAAGCAAGTATCTGCTCTTGGGAGCTAAGAGGTGTTATCGAACCCTGAGGTTATACACTAGAAAAAGATTAGCATTATAATTTTCCAGAACCAGAGTCTTGTCTTGGATAATGCTTACGACATAATAGGGGAAGTCAACTTTCCATATCCAATTCGGACATTCCCAGTCAGGAGGCCCTCTTTCACACTAGGAAGTCCAGGTTAGGAAGAGCTCGTAAAAGGGGAGAGATGACACTTACCCACCATCCTCCACCAGAGCCATATGCATCATCAGTGCCATCGTAAAAGATTAAGTAATCACATGGGTTGGCCAAATTAGAGGTAGGGTTTGGAGTAGTGGTTGCAAGTGGCGACGCTACGGGAGTAGCTGCTGGTGGCCAGCGCTGAGCTGTTGCAGTAGTAGCGAACGCTGTAATCGCGTAGGTGAATTTCATTTCTGTGGATGATATGAGGATTTGATTTTGTGGCCTTGTGAGGATAGGTCGAATATCTGGGTCGAAGCGGGACTAGGAAGAGATTTTATAATTGAATGTTCGTATCTCTCGAAGCTATGGTATTTATGTAGCTTTCTTTTAGATTCTAGGTTAATTATTCACACATGGAATTCCCTGAAGCGGTCGCTAACAATGAAAGTGTAAAATGCTATGTAAATTTAGGGTTCAGAATCGCTTGACTTGAACATAATTGACCTACACGTGTACATGTCAGGCTACGAGAGCAACATGTCAGGCTACGAGAGCATACCAGGCTAGAAGGGCATGCTATCTTGGTGGATGAGTTCCTTCAAGTAAGGCCATTCCTAGTCTTAGTCCACCGGGCCTTTTCCAGCCGCTCTGGACTGCTTACAGGCCAGTCTCTGAAACACTATTAGAATACCATTAGAACGCTACTCCACGATTGTAACAGGACAGAACCATTGCCTAAGGAGAACTATTGTCCCTAAGGTAGGTTAATAACAACTAGTACAAATAAGCAAAAATCACTTACAATATTCCCAACTACAATAGTCTTCAGGACACAACAAGATCCCAAGATCAGTACATTCTCATTATCCTTTTCTACCTAGGTAACACTCAAATTTTTTTTAAATTATTGTATCAAGGTTATCTGACCTTCGCAAAAACTCTAGGATCTCTATCATAGTACAATTTTAAGTAGGCAAACTGAAAGTGCAAGAAATTGTAACCATCGGGCCGGTTAGGTTGGAGTAATATAAAATAAGCGACAAAATAAGTAATGTTCAAGTATAAATATGTTGAAATTATGTAAGTTGCGAATGCCGTAAAGCCTTGCCGTTCATCCTTATTTCACAGGATACTTTAAATAAGCAGGCAGCGTAAGAGCCGCAACCGCAACCCCACGCTGGTTGTTGTAAGATATAACTACCTGCCCGCATACAGCTTCCAGAGGTCGGTATTTCGTGGCCTGTCATGTGGTTTATGGAAGAACGTCTTAGTCAATTGAGATAATTTTAGTGTAATTATATCAAAATTATATCATGTATGAATGTAACTCCAGAGTATATCCTGACGGTAGGTTCCATTGCTGGTACTATCTTAGTCACGTGAAATGCCACTTATCGGCAGGCGGGCCCATGAGTGGATGGCCAGAAGTACAAGGGTGCCCCACCAAACTTTTCACACAGCGAAAGTCTCAAAAATCCCAAGTCAACATCACGCCGTCGCAATAATGGCACCTATCTCCCTCTCGGATATTATTTCGGCTTTGCCGTCAGAAGACTCATGGGGCCCCCCAACCTCGAGTGAAACGACTCTAGATGGCGTGCCCTACGCTCCATACTCCAAGGGCGACAAGCTGGGTCGCATGGCCGATTGGACTACGGAGGGGAAGGATGGACGAGATGGCAGAGGCGGGAGACAACAATACAACCGTAACTACAGAGGTAGGATAGCAAAAATACACGTTTTTCTCATTGTAAACTGCGACAGCACAGGGCTGACTTTTTGCCAGATCAGCAGGTTTATGGCGCGGGCACATCTTCACTCTTTGCAGTTCAACTCGCTGAGGATGAGTCTTCTTTCTCGGTGGTGAGCAATGTTCGCGAGTCAACAAAGACGAGATTCGGCCGCGGAGGCGCTTTTGGACGAGGGCGAGGACAGCGTGGAGGACGAGGCGATACCCGGGGTGGACGAGGTCAATTCCAGAGAGTTGGCGGAAGAGGTGGCCAGCAAGGTTACAATAACTATAATGATAGAGGAGGTCGCGGTGGTGCCCGTGGAGGGCGAAGATTTGGCTGGAAGGATTACGACAAGCCACAACGAAATCGCGATGCTTCAGTCAACATCAAGCCGGACTGGAAGATGCTGGAGGAGATTGACTTCAACCGCCTGGCTAAGCTGAACCTCGACACCGACGAGGGAGAGGACCTCGATGGATACGGTTTCCTGTACTACTATGATCGTTCATACGACAAGCAGGCAGTCAAGAGCGCTGAGCGAAAACTCAACGTTGTTGACCGAGCTGCATACAACGTCACAACTTCCTCGGATCCCGTTATTCAGGAACTCGCTGAAAAGGACGAAGCCACCATTTTCGCCACCGATAGTATTCTCTCCATGCTTATGTGCTCACCTAGATCAGTTTATCCTTGGGATATCGTCATTGTTCGACAGGGCAACAAGGTATTCCTGGACAAGCGAGATAATGCCACTTTGGATATGGTTACCGTCAACGAGAACGCAGCAGACGCACCTATGGACGCATCTGAGGGAAGCAAAGATGCCATCAATCAACCTAGCGCTTTGGCTGAGGAGGCAACCTATATCAACCACAACTTTGCGAACCAAGTCATGTTGGAGAACGAGAACCAGAAGGTTGAGATGGCACACGAAAATCCCTTCTACAACCCAGAATCCGAGACCGAGCCACCTGCAAGCAAAGCCTACAAATACCGTCGTTTTGATCTCTCGCTTAATGATGAGGACCCAGTTCACTTGATTGTCCGAACGGAAATTGACGCTGTCCAGAAGAATGCTATAAGCGGCGAAGATCAGTTCATTACAGTCAAGGCTCTGAACGAGTTTGACCACAAAGCTCAAGGCAGTGGTGGAGCATTGGACTGGAGAACAAAGTTGGTCGGTCAACGTGGTGCTGTTGTGGCCACAGAAATGAAGAACAACAGTTGCAAGCTCGCCAGATGGACCGTTCAAAGTATCATGGCTCGTGCTGATGTCATGAAGCTTGGGTAAGTTTTATTCCTCGCCGATCCCGCAATATCTACTAATCTATATAGATTCGTTTCCCGCGCAAACCCCAAGACAAACGATAAACATGTCATTCTTGGCGTTGTGGGCTGGAAGCCACGCGATTTCGCCCAACAGATGAACTTGAGTCTCTCCAACGGATGGGGTATTGTCCGCACAATCGCCGACATGTGTCTTAAGCGCGAAGAGGGCAAATATGTTCTGGTCAAGGACCCCAACAAGCAAATCCTACGTCTGTACGAGGTCCCAATGGGAAGTTTCGAGGACGATGGCGAGGGTGAGATGATCGAGGAGCAAGAAGAGATCGAGGAATAGATATGACGCTCGAATGGTGATGAGGGAAACAAAAAAAAAGTAACATGCAACTGGTCATTCCTGGGATTTTCTTTCTCATAAAATAATGAGAGGATAGGAGGGGAGGCGGAGTTTTTTGTGCATAGCTTTATGATTACGATTTACTTTTGTCCCTGTTGAGGACTAATTTCTGAAGTGCCATTGCTTAAAGCTCGATATCTATCGTGAACACCTTCCTAATACATTTGCGTACACGACGCTCCCATGAAAATACTTATCAGAAGACCCAAGCTCTTGCTGCGCATGCCACTTTCTTGCGGCATACGCAACAAGATATTGGGGGTCCTTGCGTAGGTAGCCAAGAAGTCCTTCTCCAATTCAACAGTACAAACAAAACAGTATATAAGACCACGGTCATTTCATCAGTAATCAATCTTGTAGCTATATATCCAACATCAAGTTTTTCCGCTCATGAGATACTGCTCAATACATCATAGGAACATCCGATTGATCATGGAAAACATTCGCCAGTGCATCTCTCACCTCGAATTCCTCCAACACGGCACCAAAGCTGGACATGTATCAGCAACATACCAAAAAAGCAAAACTTGAGAAAGAGTAAAATCGGGAAAAAAGAAAAGGAAAAAGAAAAAGAACTCACCCATAACACCTAATCTTCCCCCCAAGCTCCTGAGCAATCTGCTCAAAATGCTCAACCCTCAACTCCGAAACCCTCGGATGCCCCAAAATCATCCCCCAAGCCATAACCGGCGTAATCTCCCCATGCAGATCCAGCCGTTTACTCAAATCCAACAAGTTCGCCAAATCCGTCTTGCTCAAATCCCACGTCTTCTGCGCATCGGTGTTCTGTCTGGGGCCATGCCCAAAGGGCATCTCAGGCTCGATCTTGATGGCGGGCGGACAGGAGGCCATGAGGGAGTGCCCGCACATGGGGCCGCCGTCGGTGCTCGAGAGCTCGACGAGGATGTCGAGGTGGTCCATACATGGGCGTTCGAGTCTGCGTGGTTCAAGGGGGCCTGCGTCAGTTTTGGCTGTTTTGGGGGGGAGGCGATAGGTAGGCTCGCTGGGGGTTGGCGTACGTTAGGACGAAGTCTATGCCTGCTTGGTCATAATCTACACTTGGTTGGACTTGTTGCTGCGCCATGCTTCTGCGGTCGTTGGTTGGGTCGTTCTTGCTGACTGGTGGAGACTGGTTTGATGATAGGGGATTCGAGTTCGAGGAGTGGGTTAGGGGTGGTGGGCTGTAGGTTTGGGAACCGGGTGCGTAGCTTCCTGATATACTGCCGCTGGATGTGTAGTTTGTGGGTGCTTGCAGAGCTAATTCATCGACTCCGCCGGTGCCTGTCCATGGTATACCGTGTTGAGCTAGTAATTGTTTTAACTGGCGATTCTCTTCGGCTAGAGAATCTTTGCTTCGAGACACCATTGTGTACTTCTCCTTGAGATGGAGGACTTCCTGCTCCAGTGCTTTGATATACAATTCTTTTCGCTCGCGATGGGTTCTATTTTGAATTAGTGGTAGAATTAATGGGTAGCATGAGTGTTTCTTGCCTCTGGGCCTGCCGATTTAATTCTTGTCGTCTCGTTAACGCAGGCTTGCTATCCGGTTTGGGGCCTCTTCTTTTTGGTGGCTGACCATCGACTGCACAGAATCAGCTGAGTGACGAGTAGTTAAAGTCATTCCAAATACATACCGCGATTCGGTTTCCTCTCGGTAAGATTCTTCAAGAAACCTAGGCTCATTGAAAGCGGGCTCTTTCCACTATCTGACTTGTCGCTACTACCATATCCGCTTCCACTGAGTTTATTGCCATATTGGTCGACGGGAGAGGGGGCAGACATGTCTTTGTGATTGTGTGAGTCGAAACTCAAGGGTGGGTTGTGTTGGTCCGTCTGCTGGTTTGAGCATTGTCAGCCATTTTCCACTGAGTTGAACTGCGTCAAAGTGGTGGTCGGAAATCCAATGCGACAGAACGCCTTCTTTTGACAACAGTGCAATGTGGCAGAGATTTGGGGTGGAAGGACGTGATGTATGACGTACCAAATCGTAGGTGTGTAATATATCTAGTAACTAGTGTCGTGTGGCTTAAATAGGAGGTGTGTTGCGACGTCGTAGGAGATGGTGTTGTGGAGGGGTGTGGGGAGAGTATTTGGAATGGGTTTCGGCCGCTGATGATTCGGGGACTTGATAATAGGGAGCGGCTGATCGCTGCAAGGATATCACCGACTGGATTGATATCTTTGACGATCGAATGGTTGTTATATGTATTCGAAGTAAAATGGACGAGGAGGACTGAGGACGGAGTTGTGCGGTTGAAATTGGATCAGATTAGACGGAAAACATGCCCATCTATAAGATTTAGGTACGGCTCACTCGGATCTCGTACTCTGCCTGGAGGCAGTGCAGCAACCAGACTACGACGCTTGAGCGGATATAACAATTTTGGTTGTATATGATTCAGGGATCGCTGAGGAGGACGTGACTTCATCAATTCAAACTAGTAGATCTGTATGGGGGGTAGATACAAGCGAGACAAGGAATCGATTGCGACAAAACTTGTTGCTGCAACAGGAGGACTGGCGAGGTAAGAGTGAAGAATTGCCTCCAAAAACTATAGAGCAGAGTGTGGATGGGAAGGAAAGCAGAAGATGATATTGATCCCCACGGAAAAAAGCATCCCATCTGTACTTAGGCCCGGAGAGGCAGCTGATGATGAACCTGAACCTGAACCGCAACCTGAAAAAGGAAGCATAATCATACATAAGCCGGCGGATGACATGACAGTCCATACCCGCTGCCTACTAACGTCTTTTGGACTTGTCATTGGCAAATCACTGGATTTTCCAACAGATGTGACCTTGTACGGCTAGCTGAGGTGCATTTGCAGATTGAGCTGCAGCTGCCTCCAACAACCATGAAAATGCTTTTTTTTTCCTTTCTAGAGCAGAAAGATCTCGAAAACACTCTATTCGCTGTACTTGTAGAATAAGTGCAGTATAGAAGATGCCGTATAAAGGAATGGCCCACCAAATGGAAATGCAGATGCAGATGAAATCTAGATGACAAAAGTGCAAGGGCTACTTACTGTACAGTACTCGTACAGTCAGGACCCCGGACCTTCCCCGCACTCTCAAGATGGAATTTGCACTTGAAGCTAGAGCCCTAGAGCTGGAAACTTACTCGTAGCTAGAGTCTTCCCAATTCAACCCCGATCCTGGTATCGTTATTTCCGGGTATATTGGTAATTCCTGCTCGTCTCTTTTTAATTTGTAGAAGGAACAAAAAAAGATTGAAAAGAGACGGCGAGCTCCTTTTGCAGAACTTTGCCTGCCCTGCCCCGCCAACAAACTGCTACGATCGTGACTTCCGGGCTTCGACGACTCCCTTGTGGAATCAACCACTTTTCATGATGCTTGTCCACATGGAACCGGAACCTGCTCGCCCCTGACCGTTTCATCCATCCACATTCGGGCCCATCAGTCGCTACTTTCCAAGGTTGAGGTGATGGTTGGACTTGTCCTCCATACGCTCGCACCTGTTCCTAGTGGAGACGACCGAGTAGTGGGGTGCGGAAAGGTCCCAGATCGGTCCACATGCACAGAAAGGATGACTTTGCTGACCGCTTTCAAAATTAACCCTCCTCCCGCCTCGACAACGGCTCGAAACCTCACACAAAAATGGCCGTCGGGGATTTCTTTCTGCTGCTGCGAGGCCTCGTCCTGGTCGTACCATGGGCTCTCTACTTGGTGATTATGGACCTGATCCTGTCCTTTCTTCTCCCCTTCAGCTACCTTTTCCCCAATTTCATCTACGATGCCTCCTCGGCCGTGGCGTTCAGCAATTGGAATTGGATCCAATGCATATTCGAGGTCTTCAATGGCGGACAGATCAATATGTCTGGTGACGAACTGCCAGAATGGGAATCGGCTATTGTGATCTCAAATCATGTATCGTGGACCGATTTTTACATGATTCAGGCGATGGCTGTGCGTGCCGGCATGCTGGGACGCTGTCGATGGTTTGCCAAAATCGAACTTCGCTGGGTGCCATTGCTAGGCTGGGGAATTTGGGCAATGGGCATGCCAATGGTCAGCAGAAACTGGCTAAAAGACCAGAAAGAATTGGACCGTGTCTTTCACGGAGTGGTGGTGAAGAAATGGCCAACTTGTAAGTTCAGAGCCAAGCTTGCAGGAAAACACAATTGACTGACAGCTTGCCAGGGTTGATCAGTTTCAGCGAAGCCACGAGATATACCCCCAAGAAATATGAAATCGCAAAGGAATGGTGCAAGGAAAACAATAAACCGCTTCCAAAACATCTTTTATACCCACGAACGAAAGGCTTCGTTACCACCGTGCAGCACTTGCGCAAAGCTACCCATGTCAAGGCTGTATACGATATGACCATCGCATACGGTCATGGCACTAAATTCTTGGAAGCGCCAACGATATGGGAGTCTCTCAGTCGCGGTGACTTAAGTGGCAAAAGAGGCTATAAATTTCATGTACATGTGAAAAGAATACCATTGGTCGACTTACCAATGGACGATGCGGGACTAGCTAAATGGCTAGAGAAAAGATGGATTGAAAAGGGAGAGTTTTTAGAGGAGAAGAGAGAAGAGTGGGCACGACAACCAACCTCGTTTAACAAGATCGCGTATTAAATGTAAGAAAACGGTGGATAAATATTCCGCCGATGCCGTATATATTTCGCCTTCCCTAGTATATACAAATCAGGATACTTTTCCAGAAGAGCGGTGCTCATTTTCTTTGTGATGAGCTTCCACTTTTTCTATTCAAGCCCTATTCCAGTATGGCGTTTACTGTGGGTGGCAAGACCACAAAGAACCAACGGACTTTTTAACATCACTATCTCCAAACTTCCAGAACATAATACCTGGGGTAAACCGAAGTCTCTGCATTCCAGAGAGCTTCCTAAGAGCAATCCCTAATATTCAAACATACCATCCCTCTATTTACCCACCTAAAACACAACCACCCATCAACAACGGGACCTCACCATCCCATCTCAAAAGAGCATTCTATAAAAGATATGCCCTTCCGGGCCTCCCGAATCCAAACCCGCATCCTCAACACCGACGACCACAACCCCTCCGACATCTCCCAATCCTACATCCCCCTCCCTAGACGCAACATACCTCTCCCTCCCCTCACCACTCTCCAAAGCCTCCGAGGAAAGCAATTTCTTCTCGCCCACAAACAGCATAAACAGCACCATGTCCTCCGCCTCGACCTACCACCCCTCTCTCCCCTCCACGCCTATCGCCAAATACCTGCCCACATGGTGGAACAAGCGCAACGCCAACAAAGGCATGGAGCGGATGGAGGAGGGTGAGGATGTTAATGGGATGGGCAATCCGATTGGGGGCGCGAGACAAGCTAGGAAGAAGAGGATTAAAGGCGCGATTGAGATGGTGGGTATGGCGTCTGCGGTCTTTGCATTGTTGGGGTTGGTGGTTGCTTGTATTGGGTGGATGCATATTAGGAGTGGACCGAAGGGTGGGAAGGAGCTGCTTGGGAGGGCGGAGGTGGTTGATTGGTATCGGAGGGAGACTTGAGGGTGGTGGTGGCTTTTGGGATAGGTGTTGGGATGGAACTTACTAACTGTAGGTTGAAATGCCTGAAGAAGTGGGTCATGTGAGGGGGTTGCTTTCTTCGGTAGGTAGGTAAGAGGGTTGGGAGGAAGGGAAATGGGGATTGTGTAAATTGTAGATAGTTAAGGGAATGCTTAGCATATATCGTATCGAGATTGAAAAGCATGGATTTTCTCTCGTTATTAGCAAATCAGATTTATGATCATTATTGTAAATTGAGACTCACTCGAATCCATTAGTATAAGCCCTACCAAATACAAACACTTAACCAATAACTTAACTGATTTATTTCAATATCTATTCCATCCATAACCCATACCACATCCATTCCTTCATCACTCATGTAATCAATCGTGAGCTCCAGATAGCGAGCTTCCGCCTAACCCTAGAGTCTGGCTTGTATTAATTATATATTATTAATAGATTATATTTATTTACTTATTGTAACTAGCGTTCGATATCTAAGATTTTATTTTATACCAGACCTCCCTATAGAATATCCCATGCCAGGTATAAAAAGTCTGGAATAGTATGTTCTATAGGGTAATTCTAGTATACTATAAATCAAAATCACCTCTTCCCCGGTGCATTGCGTAGATTTTCTAGTCTGAGGGGCTTGTAATAGAAGAAAGTAGTAGTATGAAGGTTGAGAATTATTCCTCCTTCGAATAGTAGAAGTTGTCACGAATCACGTGTTCACGTGATACCTGTCATAATAAGAGACGCAACTCTCGACAGGCACATCCAGGTTTCTTAGAGCAAATAGGGATCGTTTGGAGTAGCTAAGCGATCCAGGGATTTCTCTGTATTGTTATCACGTGATATTAGGAGTTCGCCAGTTAGCCGGGCGAACAGGCGAAGTTAGCCAGTTCGATTGTCGAACGAGCGAACATCGAGAGAACGAAGGTTCTATATAAGACTGGCACGTCTGCCATTAGATAGGAGCTTCGTGCTCAACTTAGTTATCAATCTTATCATATTAGTTTGACATCTTTGATACAAGTAACGAGTTCACTTCCAAGTGAACAACCCGATAGTCTTCTTCTTATCATAGCATACCAACCAGCGAACACCCAACCAAGTTTAGTTGGCCAGTTTGAGTATTCGTTACAGAAGTGAGTACCGTATTCAGCGTTAGAAATGATTTGATTTGATTTGATTAATACTATTAATCAAATCAAATCAGATTAATATATCGATTAATCGAATCAAATCGCTAAGTAATCGGATTAATTCAGATTAATTCAGATTAACACGGAGTCCGATCGGTCCGAGATTCGGGGTAGAGTCCCGGGCCCGGGGGTGGAGTCCGGGATAGAGTCCCGCGTGTCCGGGTAGTCCGACCTCCCTATCTAACGTATAAGTAGAGCTTATAAAACATTTATATAATAAGACTCTTCCCTTACTTTAGTAAAAGGCTTATAGTACTAATTATTTGTTACAACTTGTTATGGTGGGGATCAAGGAATAGATTGTTCGCAAGGAGGGAAGAGAGACGCTCTTCGCACTCCTTAGGTATTTGTCTATCTACGGAAGGGTACACCCGCAACTTCGCTAAGCGAACCCTTATTCACTAAATCAAAAACTGTCACACAACTAGTATAGAGTCACGTGAAGTCATGTGAAGTCATGTGACCTACTATAAATTGTCTCAGTATAGAACCGGAATATAATAACAAAAGAGACTCTAAAGGCTATACTAGTATAAGACTAAAAAGCTAGGGGTGTTTCGTAAACAAGGACGAGGATATACTACTAAAAGACGCGTTATTTAAGGACAATTACTCTATAATTTAGTTACTATTTATAGTATATATTAATTAATTAATAATCTGGTTAACAAATCGGTTAATCAAATCAAATCAACTAGACCTGTTAATCAAATCAAATCAAATCAAATCAGAATAATTCAGAGTATTAATTGATTAGTTGATTATTTTTTTCTAACGCTGACCGTATTCGAAAATCCTAGATCAGTTAAAGTACTTATCCCAGAACAGGTGCAATAATTACTAGGCATTAAGCGAGAGAGGGGGAATGGGTATCGCTTACTGCAGCTTTCTGTCCGTCGTGAGGAGCGATAGTATCAAGTAGCTTCCTCATAGGCCAGACTATGAAAGTGAATGAAGTATTTCAAACGTCAAATCCAACTCTCACTTCGGGCGGGACGGAGAAACCCCAACAACACCAAGTTAACGTTCCAAGAATCTAAATAGTATTCATCAACAGCCACCAAAACCATTAAAACCAAGCAGCACAGAACATCATGGACGCCGATAATCAAGAGAAGGAGAGATGGCCCAAGGACACCTCTGACCGGGAAGACTGACTCTCATTATCCCGAGATTCTCTATTGATATTTTTAATTACTCAGAGTTTTAAAATTATGAAATGACTAAATACGTCGAATCGGAGTATAATTAGACCTGAAATATTTTCTCTCGTTTTCCCGTCCACCAGCCGGCGTCAGTGAGGAATGATTTAATACTCGGACGGCAATCGTACACTTTAAACAGCGCTCTGGAGCACAAGTCAACAGTCACGAACACACTTTTACTCTGTCTTGTTATAAATGGAATGGATAGCAAGGATAACTAGACTTGAGAATGCTATTCGCCTATATCACGGCATATCACAGGTTATAGTATGAATCAGCTTCAATCGAGACCTGATCATCCCAATACCCTGAGATACGCGAGTATAAATACATAGCCGAGCCAGCTCCCTTAATTGTCCAAATGACTTGACCGCCATTAACATCAACCAACAACCATAACCATACAGAGAATAACGTAATGTGGCTAGTAGGCAGCGCTCACCAGGTTAAGACCCTGAAGCTTGAATTAAGAATAGGCATTGCAAAAATATCCAAACTATTCTCTGGGCGATTACGTGCTTCACAAAAGGCTCTAAGAAAATGGATCGTAGAGCGGGAAACTCGTGTGTCTTCGGTGTAGGTCGATGGGGGTTTGTTAAAGCCACGATCCCCGCGCGTTAGCGAGCCCAAATCAAAGCAGCACAAAACGTTTGCAGCTGTAAAATCCAAGAGACGTCGCGTGTCTAGCCCATGCGTGGGGTCCACGTATGCAGCAGTATCACCTCAAAGAGTCTTCCAGAATAATTACAAAAAGCACAGAGAAAATACAAAAAAGAATCGCAAGTACTCAAACCAGCAAAAGGTTCGTGACCGTGCCGTTGGACATAATAATCCTTGGATTATTGCTCTTCAAGCATGAATCCTTACTTCCTTCCGTGACGACTGGCCCAAATGGGCGGCCAGTCGCACCACCAACAGGTGTATAATTAGTGAGTTTGTGGTTGGAGGAACCTTATTTGTGTATATAGCATTGATCGCGGATTTTGTGGGGCCTATGGTGTGCCGCGAAATAGCCGTTATGTGATCGGTAGGGGAGGATGGCGTACAATGGGTACAAAGCGACAAAGGACTTTTGAGTTTGAAGGGCAAAGGGTTTCTTTGTTTTCTTGGAGAGACGGATGCTACAGATAACAAACAAAAGATAATGGGAAAAACAAGTTGCTATGCAGATGATCAAAGTAATTAAGGTTTTATTAGTTGATAATAAAAACAATAGGATTCTTCTTTCTCCCCCGAACAAATAAATAGCATAGAAGGACCCACACGAAAGATCTACCCTTCTTTCTAGACTTTTGTAAAGAATACAGGAAAACCAACACACAAGAAAGTATACCACTACCCACTGATACTAACACACTAAATCCAAACCTCTAGATAACAAGAAAAATACCCACCAAAATGACCGACGAAAGCCCCTCAAGAAGGAGCAATACCCTCTCAGAAAGAAATATCTCTCCAAGAGCCAGTTCAAATGTCTCCTCCCCACCCATGTCCTCCCTCTTCAGCACACCCCCCAAACAATCCGGCCCCCGAAAACTCAAATTCCTCACCAAATCCCGCGCAGCCGAGCTCCGCAAGCGAGAAAGCGAATACATCAACCCAAACCCACGTCCGCTTCCATCCCCATCCCAATCCTCACGTCTCACCTTCGGCGTGGAGCTAGAATTCAACATCGCCTACCTCTTACCATCCGGACGTATCTTTCGGGACACCGATCTCGCAGAGGGACTTCCATATACCACGGATCCCGACCCCGAGGATCCGCGGGTGGTGAGAGGACTGGCGACTTACGAACCGGATCCAGAGGAAGAGCTAACGCTATCTCAGCAGGTAGAAGCGTATCGCGAGCAACGTGAGCAGATCTTTACACATATCAGGGATACCCTTCGAGCAGCGGGTCTCCCTTGCCGACTGGGTGATGACTATAGCAATCCCAAGCCCGAGCATTTGGTATTGCTAAGTGATTCATCCGTCGAACCACTCGAGGATGATGATTCTGCTGATAACTATAATTTTATGGATGTCGAGATAACATCTCCCCCGTTCTACGACCACGAGGACAGCCGAAGACAGGTCAAAGCAGTTTGTGAAATCCTCACTAGTACATACCGCATCAACGCCAAGGGAAACAAAACATGCGGGATGCACGTCCATGTAAGTTCTCGAGTTCCATTTGACCAGTTTTCCAAAAAGACACAGGAGGAATTCCCATACGGGTATTCAGGGTATCATCCCAGACACTTGGCTTCCCTAATGGCCTGCCTCTGGGTCTTCGAGAATCGCCTCCAGCGAATCCATCCAGAGCACCGAAGAGCCGGTCATGAAGCCGCTGAGTATTGCATGCCTCTAGCCACGGGAAGCTGGCTCACATCCGATAGCGACTTTCTAAGAGAAGGCTGGAGACAAAGAGGACTCAAGACTCTGCTCGCAGCAAGGGATGAAAAGACGTGCCAGGAGATATGTTTTCTAACCCGAGGATTCCAGGAACGTCTGAGCTACAATACTCGAACCCTCAGCTGGGATAAAGGCATAAGAACCGTGGAGTTTCGTCAACACGAAGGTACCGTGGAAGCAGAAGAAGTTTTCCAATGGATAAAGGTCTGATTGCGTTGGTAAAGTTTGCCTTCAAAGTTGACGAAAAAGCCCTTGATGGGTTTTTGAAAAGACATGTCGACGACGCTCTTGAGGACTACACTGCCATGGATCTTCTGAAAGCCATCAGTAGTGCTGACTCAGCAGTGTATTATGAGAAGAAGATGCGTGAACGGGACGCAGTAGAAGAAGAATAGACTCACAACACCGCTTGCAACAGGTGTGCCAATCTTTTTTATAAGCGCCTAGACAGAATGAGTATATTTAAATAGCGGAAGAACATTATATACGTAATCTTTTAGATAGAAATAGAAACCATGTACAGGCACCTACTTAGCGATCGAAAAGTCACGTGCAAAGATAATCATTCCATGAATAGATGAAATGCGTAGCCTGCAGGTGGGGGTGATTGCTCATCTGGGAAGCGTGATCTAGTAACACTTCTTTCCGGCGTTATAACTCTGGAGTTACAATACACAAAATCGGCATGTAGAAGAAATCGGAGATTTTAGTTGAAATCATACGCCAAGGACCAAAAGAATGAAGTGAAGAATAGGACTGTAGCCAAATCCCGAGGACACGCGCGAGTAAACAAAGAGAATGAGATTGAGTGCCCATAATTATAAACGTCAAAGTTGTAGTTTGAGTTACGGCCCCCTTTCGCTCGAAGTGCTTCGGTGGAAAATCTCTACAAGTAGAATTGTACGCAATGGCTTGTGGCTGGCCAAAGGGGAAATAATCAATGCAATGGATTTGGTGAGGTAATTGAGATGCAAACAGCTGGAAACTGGGACAGAATACAGTCAGGTGATTTGAAAACAATCATTGGATGTATGAAGCTAATCGGCGAATACATCATGGTATCCGTAAAAGTATAAGGTATGCTAAAAGCATTTCCTCTTTAGATACAAAAGCTGAAAACAATGATTGGCAAGCTACCACAAAATGATGACCTGGGAACTGATCTCCAACACTTCGGAATCTCAGGTAATCTGCGCGAATTGCTTTATCTCTGTCCAAGTCAAATGGCCATGGTGGCTTGGAAAAAAGATCGAGCGAGTAACAGTAATCAGAGCCATAGACTTCAGCTCGATCAATTTGTTACTCCAATTTTTTTTCAAGGATCGAGACTTCTTGTGTAAGAATGGACAGATGTGTGAGGAATAATAAAACGTGGCAGGATGAGAATGGTTGTTCGGTCAAGGGTACACATAATTTTGACAAGTATATAATCTAATGACATTGTCAACTCCCAATGATGCTCGTAAAGCAGATTTTCAAACATACCATGGTATTCCAAACCCACGATCGTTCATCCGAAACACTGGCATTGAGTGGTTACCAGCAGTCTCGATTCTGTAATCGCGTAACACAATTTGATCACGGCCACGCGAATTGTGGCACAGAGTGGAACGTCGAACGATAGAGTTCAGCTGGAAAGCCATGGTCTACGGAGTCTGCACGACAAGAAAGCTATATGGCTCAAAAACAATCCGTAAAATATCTGGGTGGACTTTTGATTGTTCGAAAAGCATTGAGATCTCAATTCAGAGGGGGTTTACCGGAATAAGGAACCCTGGAGAACAGTTTTGGCATGTTGCACGAGGTATGGTTACATGCAGTATTGACCCTCACGCCAAGGCCCCTGTTCCTGCATGACTTTCTATCTCCAGCTCCCAAAACTAGGAGGTGTGGAGAACTGCAAATACAACGGTCCGAGTATGCACATAAAGCAGTAAAGTTTGGCGTGCCTTAGTGGGTATCGGGTTGTAAGGGGATTTGAACCAATTATCGGGGTTGTTCTGCAGAGTTCCAATATTGTAATTAGCCGATGCAAAGAATCTGCTTGTAAGCCAACCAGACGCCTGCAACCTTACCAGGAATAATTTATCTAATCCTTTTTCCCTTTAGACTCTGGCAGGGAGAAAAGTTCGTATTCCATTTTGAAGCTATTCGATGTTGTACTGCTTGGGCTTGGTGGGAAAAAGGAACTCCGAATCTGAGAGTTCAATATTGCTGCCTCGGTCCTCTGCAGGTGATTTTCTATTTTGGAATGGAATGGAATTCTCATGAAGCTCCATATCCAGCTCTTGAAATATTTTTTTCCAATTGGGAAGATATGCGTGCAACCCCAGGACCCTGAGAGGCGTAAGCGGGGACAGGGTCCGCAGTATCCGAAAGAAGAGAGAGCAGTGAGGCTCCAGCGTTGGGACAAAAATTTTGTCTCACAACTCTCGTACAGTACTATTGCAGGAACACAAAGTGCGTGAAAAGGTTCCGGCCTTGCGCATGAGAAGCGATATATCGGATCGTGGCCATCAGCAGAGTGTAACGGCATGGGATGGTTTAGGAAACCCAATGCTGTCAGCAATGATATGGAAAATCGCGGAGTGGAAATGAAGATTTGGTTCTAACCCGGTCGCCAATGTTAGAATCTTATCGCTCCTTCCTATAACTAGGACTAATTCCCGCTGTTGAGGAAAGAACAACCACAACAACATTACAATCTCTTCAGTCTATCTCAAGACTACACTCCTGACCCTTTCCAACCGATTCATCCATTATCAACAACATGAAGTCCACAATCTCGTCCTCCGCCCTGGTTATGGGAATGATGACAGCGACAAGCTCGGCTTTTGTTGCTAACCGAGTCAACTTGGCTACTCGTCAAGCCGGTAAATCACAGAGTTTTATCTGGTGATTTTGTACGCTGCTAACCTTTGCCAGCCCCTTACAATTATTTGGGTTGCTACACTGAAGGGACCGGTGTCAGGGCACTTGGTGCTTTCAACAGCGTAAATTACACCACAATGACCATAGAGCTTTGCGCCAGCTTGGCTCTTCCCACATATACGCTTTTTGGGTAACCTTTTCTCCTCGTTAAAAATTGAAATATCCGTAACTAAGAAATTTTAGAATTGAATTTGGAGGAGAGTGTTGGGCAGCAAACGTTCTCGGAAATGGAGCTTCCCTCGCACCCGAGAGCGAGTGCAGCTTTGGATGTGCTGGGAATTCCACAGAGAAATGCGGTAAGCTTAGAATGCAAATTTTGGCGCGAAAGTATGGCTGATCCAGAAACCATAGGTGGAAGCGATAGACTCAGTATCTACTCAACCAAGAGTACTACTCCACCAGCACCACCAGCCCATATCCTCACTGCTGGTCCTTACAGCAGAATCGGATGCTACACAGAGGGAAATGGAACCCGTGCATTATCAGGAGCGACAAAGGTAGACTATGCGGCCACGACTGTTGAATCATGTGCTACGTTTTGTAATGCCGAGGGCTTCGCGGTGATGGGAGTCGAGTATGGCGGTGTAAGTTAATACTTTGCCTCTGGTTTCTGTCCTTTCCGTTTTGGATACTAACACGAAACAGGAATGCTATTGCGGAACTCCAACTTCCTTTGCCGACTCTGGGTCTACTTTGGTAGCTGATGCTGATTGCAACATGCTCTGTGCAGGATCTCCTTCGGAGTTCTGTGGTGCTGGTAACCGACTCGATATTTATCGTATCCCACCCCCAGCGGCTCCCCCAGCATAAGAAGCGCAAATTGTTGTAGAGAGATATGACGAGAGAGTGTTCAGGCATAATAGAGGCCAGAGCTGATAAGAAAATGGGGGTGATTGGGTTTGAATTTCTACTTCTCCCGGATGCTATAAATTAATGTCAGTACGACGGATTTTGGTAGGCAGTATATTTATAGATGTTGGTTCATTAATGGTTAGAATACATACAAGGTCTACCTAAGTACCTCTACCGATGCCCGAGTTTTGAAATATGCCAACACTTGAGTGCAGTTCATGGTCGTCGAGTGCTTTGTGAGGTTCAATATATTTTGACTAATCGACCAGCCGACCCTAAGATCAATAGACCGAAAGGTAAACCGCCGACATTTGGATCGCAAAGCCCTGACAACCCGGGACCTACCGTTGTAGTCAGACGTCTGTTTTTCTGTGCCTATTCGGAAGCGAAATTCGAAGACGATGATGTATCCGAGCTTAGAGATATTGGGTGGTGGACAATTTATGATATGAATCATAACAATTTGTTGATACCGGTATCTCTGGTGGAGCTCAAGGATCGGGGATATAACGTTGAGACTTGGATGTAGACGTCGTGTCAACAAGCGAATGAGGATTTCCTCTCCATTTGTTCTTACCTTTCTACCTCTCGGAGCTCTAGTAGAGCATTCACAATGACATGTGACATGTCCAGAAAGAGTTCCAGAAGAAACTTACTTCGTATGAAACAACTTAGATCAGATGAAGGGAAAAAGTGGTGGAGGTGTTGGTGGGGTTCGTATGTAGTGCAGCATTCGGGAGTTCGGATACTCCGTACAAACGACGGAATTAAGTATATCCAGATCAATGAGTTTAATAATAACTCTGAATGCCGTGGAGAATGAGATCTATGCAAGATTTTGATAGAGAATATGACTGAATAATTCATCTGTAACATTCTTATGTTTTGATAACTATTTTATCCATCTTTGGGGTGGTGTTGAATCCATCAGTGCAGCTCCGCCTAGTTCAACAACCCTGTCGCGCTAAATATACAGTACTCTCATTTCTCGTGGCTCACCTCTTCATCAATAACAAATCTCAATCCCCTAAAACCTCACCCAATGCTCTCCTCCCAGCTCCGCTATGCCGGTATTATCTAGACGGGCAGAGCTATCCCTTTTCTCTCCTGCAGCCGCTACTACCATTCTCCCGACGAACTCCTCGTTCCAATTGCCAAGCTGCCAGCATTGCTGATCCTACCTCCTTTCGCCTGCGAGCGAGCGAGCAACCACCCACGAACACCACGATAAGCCGTGATATCCTGTATTCAAACGTGACGTGACGGCAGCTCATCGAACCAATCCTCCTGATGCCACACGCCACCGAGATGCCATCGTTTTTGTCCGACGAGACTGGGCCTACCTTATCCGCGAGTCGGCCGCAATACGAAATACCTCATCATAACTTCCGAAATTCCTACGAAAAGACCAATGGAAATATCAAACCATCACCACATACATCCATAAAGGGCAGCGTTGGAGAAAGCTTGGATATGTATGTGGATGGCGGAAATCACAACCACCGGACACATGCCAATGGCGGAGATGCAGGCCACGACGGAAATCTGACCCAAGTCCCTAATGGCCGAACGAGCGCAAGCAGTTGGGAGTATAGGACTTCACGAAACGGAAGTGTAATGTCAGTGAATGGAGGCACGAATGGAAATGCTACTTCCGACAACGGAAGGAGGAGCCCTGGACCACAGAACGGGTTGGCAAGGACATTGAATGGCAACGGAGACCGGAACTCTGCTGCTTCAACAAATGGAAACTCCCACAACACCAACACCCACAGCAATGGTGGTATTGAATATATCCACGTTGCCTTGGTGAACGGCAGCGAGAACGAATCGCAGCATCGAATCTCGATACCGCCGCCAGTCTCAACCAATCCGGGAAGTACAGGTCCTCTAACCTATACTTCATCACTACTACCGGCGACCCCCAGAACCCCCGAAGCACCTCAACGTGCATCGACAACTTCACCGCAGCGCGGTGAACGCTTCTCGTCTCCTCCCAACTATCCCGCACCTCCCATACCGTCATCGTCCTCACATTCCGCTGCACACCCGGGTCTCAAACACAGACACACTCTACAAGTTCCCAAGCCAACCCCAAGTCGGAGCTCCCGCGACGGCGAGGACGCTGTGTATACCACTGGAAGGTTCTCACCGACTGCTGCAAGTTCAAGTGCTAGGCGCGGCTCGCTAAGCCTCAACAGAAGGAACACCCAATCGATACACTCTAATATGCCCCATGACGAGGTCCCCCCAGACGAAGACGCTGCACGTTGGGCCGAGGCTGTGAGGCAGAAAAGGGCAAGCAAAAGGAGGCGCAAAGACGAGGAGGACGACGATAGGGTAGTTGTCGGAACCAAGGTGGATGAGAACCATGTCAATTGGGTTACGGCATATAATATGTTGACTGGAATCCGATTTACGGTATCGAGAACGAATGCGAAATTGGATCGACCGTTAACGGATGCGGACTTTGAAGCTTCGCATAAATTTTCCTTCGATATGTATGTTTGCTTGCAGACTTGCGAGGTGTCTTTGACTAACTATCAATAGTGCTGGGAATGAATTGACACCGTCTGCCAAATACGACTTCAAATTCAAAGACTATGCGCCATGGGTATTCCGACATTTGCGGGCAAAGTTCAAGCTGGACCCGGCCGATTATCTGATGTCTCTGACCAGCAAATATATTCTCTCCGAGCTTGGATCACCAGGGAAGAGTGGGAGTTTCTTCTACTTCTCCCGCGATTACAAGTATATAATCAAGACAATACACCACGCAGAGCACAAGTTCCTGAGAAGGATACTGAAAGACTACTACTCGCACGTTGAGGAAAACCCCAATACCCTACTCTCCCAATTCTATGGACTCCACCGCGTCAAGATACCGTATGGCCGAAAGATACACTTCGTTGTCATGAACAATTTGTTTCCACCCCACCGGGATATACACCAAACTTTTGACTTGAAGGGATCAACTATTGGGCGTGATTTCAAAGAAGAAGACCTGGAGAAGAATCCTCGGGCTACGCTGAAGGATTTGAACTGGCTGCGCCGGGAGAAGCATCTCGAATTTGGACCAGAAAAGAGACAGCTATTTTTTGAGCAAATGGAGCGAGATGTGCACCTTCTCCAAAGGCTGAAAATCATGGATTACAGTATGCTCGTCGGTGTGCATGATCTTCAGAAAGGCAACCAAGAAAACCTCCGCGACAAGACTCTGCAGGTGTTTCAACCAGGTGGAGACGCAGCAGCAGAAGAGACTGGCCCAGATGGCAGGGGGCCTTTGATGCGAACCCCGAGCAAACTGGAGAATGCCCGCAAAGCCAGGGAGCTCAGGCAGATTTTGAAGCAGGAGAAGCCTATACCCATGGGCCAAAGCAACTCGAAAATGCCCGATACTTTGGAGGAAAATACCACCAAAAAAGATTTTATTTTCTACAGTGATGATGGAGGTTTCCAGGCCACTCATGAGGACAATAGCCCCGGGGAGGAGATATTTTTCCTTTCAATTATTGATTGCCTTACTCACTATGGAACTGTCAAGAAATTAGAGCATTTCTGGAGTATGTATTTCTCGGCTCTTGTGTTGTTCCATTATGCTAACAAATCTCACAGAGGGTCTCAGTCAGGACAAAAAGCAGATATCGCCTATTTCTCCTGAGCCGTACGGCCAACGTTTCATTGACTTTATTGAAGGCATTACTAAGAGTCCGGAAGAAGCTGCAAGAGCAGCTCAAGCGGCTGCCCGACAAGGGATACCGCATACGAACTCCAATACTTTCTCTGCCCGTGACCAAAATACTAGTTCTCAAGATTCAGGTCGACGAAGATCTAACAGTATACCTATGCATCGATCGAATACGCCAAACGCTACTCTACAGAGGAACGAAAGCGAGGCTATGAATTCGGAACGGCGAGACGACGAAGGCCATCGCCCAGATCCAAGAACGCTCAGTGTCGTTCGAAGTCCTAGTACCGACCGTGTTGGAGGGCATCAAGGACAGACATTGCCAGTAGTAGAAGAGCTCGGTGAAGCAAGCAGCACAGGCGGTCGAAGTGGTCATAGTCGGGATGAGAATGCTGATGGGGATAGACGACCTCTTACTCCAGCCAAGGATGATGCTCGGCCATTGACACCCTCGAGTTACAATGGAATGAGCAATGGAACCAGGCGTCCTTTGAGCAGAAGTAGCTTGGATAAAGAGCTACCTCCTCTGCCACAAGTGACAAGCCCTGTGCAGAAAAACGGGGAAGGGTCCTTCTTTTCTTTCCGCTAAGAAGGTTGGTACATAGGTGGGAGGTGTTTGTATTGAAGAGAGAGTGTGTGGATGGTCTGAAGTTGGAAGTTTGTTGTGTTGGAAAGTTGGTCGCGCAGAGAGAGGGGGGAGAGAGAGAGAGGAAGGTCAGCAGCATTCATGATATACCATTGTCGCAAAGTTTTTCTTTTTCTTTTTTTCTTTTTCCATTTCTCTTTTTTCTTCCTCTCTTAGCGCGTTTTTTGTTATTGTTTTGTGTTTTTAGAGTCTCTCATTATCCACAGTTTGGCCCTCAATCCCTTTTGCTGGGAAAACTCCTTAACATAAATCTTTCCTTTGTCCACCAATGAAATTTTGTCTCTGCTTTTTTCATGCGCTGTCACATCCATCCCATCTTTTTACCCCTTCCCGCTATAATATATTTTGTTTCGGGAGGGGAAGGTGGGCGATAATGAGGGGGATTGTTGTGTAGATAGGTAGACTTGGGTTTGCTTTTGCTGTTGGCTTCTTTCCTTTTTTTCTTCTTTCTTTTTTGTGTATGTGCTTTTTTTTTGGTTTTGCTGATTTTTGGAGAGTGGGTGGTGAGTGAGTGAGTAAATGGAAAGAGAAGTTGGAATGTAGGGAGGGAAAGAGGGGAAGGAGGGATGGGGTGAACTTGTACGTTAGTTAGATGTGGGATTCGGGGGACTAGTATATTTCTGGGTTGCATGGAATGGAATGGAATGGGATTCTTATTTTGCCTTTTGTTTTTGTGTGATTGTGTGGGAATTTGTGGGAGTTTGTAGGTGATTTTGTGATTTGTGGAGGTGAGGTGTGAGGTGAGGTGCTAGGTGAGGTGCTGGAAGTGTGGTTGTGGTTGTGATTATGTGGCTGAGTTAAGTGAGTAGGTATGAGAGTGAAGGAGTTGGAGGTAAGGTGATTAAGGGGTATATACTTACTATAGAGTTTTCTTTTGAGACTTCTTCTTTTTTTTTTCTTTGTTTTTTATAGTACCTTTAGACTTTCGCTTATGTAAGTTAGTAAGTTACGTACGAGTACTGTAGTTCTTAGATTCTATAGGTACTGTAAGATCTCCTCTCTTCTCTCCTCTTTTAAATCTAGATTCTTACCTAGGAAAAGAGGAGGGCTTGGAAATGGCGCAGTGGAGGGGGGGATGAGGAGGGGTTAGGTTGGAGAGGAGGGGTTAGGTTGGAGAGGAGGGGCTTGGGGGAGGAGGGGAGGATAAGGGGATAGTCTTTTTTATTACGTTAAAGTAAGGGATAGGTCTTATTATATAAGTACTTGTAATAGTTTTTTTATTATATAAGTAGTAGTATTTCACTACGTAAATAACCTTGAATAATCTCTCTATCACGGTACAAAGACGTATAGACCTACGTAGGAGCCTAGGAGGGGAAAAGTACCTTAGTAGAATATATCAGTAGTATAAGGCATTCGCTAAGCTAAGCGAAAGTATCAAAGTACTATATATCCCCCCTTTACAAAAGTAGATAGAAACAAGCTATTCCATATAAACCATAGTACTTTTAGCTTAGCTTAACATATTATCTTAGGGTAATCCGCTACTTTTCTACTTTTTAATCCTACCGAACCCTAGGGAACCCTAGGGTTAAATAATTTTGAGGAAAAATTAAAGTGTTAAAGTTAAGAAAGTAAGATTACCTGGTTACGCTATACTGTATGATAAGAGAAATAGAAAAATAAACTAGGTACTAACATGTATAAAAAGGTTGAAATGTATAGAAAACTTCCTGGCTACTTTTACGAAGGGGACTGTGTATTTATTTGATCCTTACTTGGTTTTACTAATACTAACCTACACTCGAGTGAGTCGTTCTAATTGATTGGTTAAACTTATTTACTAGGAAAATGTTGAAGGATATTTGATATTCACTCACTACGCACTAGTGGCACTAGCGTCAAACCTGGGTATTTAATACCCACCTGTACCTTACTTTAAAAATTGAAGAGTTCTCCCCTTTCTATCGCTCAACAGAAAATAGAAAGGATATAATACTAAGCCCTCTTTCACTCTTACACTTTTTTATTTACTCTCCGTTACCCTGGTAAGACTCGGTAAGGATAGGAGTTATCTTAATAATATTTGGAAATTAGGAAAGAATGGAATGGAATGGAATGGGAAGGAAGGATAGATCATAGATGACTGGATGGTTTTAGGGATAGGGGTACGGATAGGCGAGGATGGGAGACTACTTTATGATATCTATTATTTTATTTCATTTGCCTTGGGTTTTGGGAGGGGGGAGATGATTTAGGGGGTTTTGAATCTTTGGTGGATTGTATGGTAGATTGTATGGTAGATTGTATGGTAGATTGTATGAGCTATGGAAATTGGGAAAGGAACGCTAGGATCGACTCATATACCAGATAAAAGGATAAAATTAAATTATGTCTTTAAGCCCGCGCCCCAAGCCAGCCCAAAATAAATCCCCCCCACGCACCGAAAATGCTAGCAATCATTCGTTCAATCATATATATACCCCCCATCAATACCACCTCTCACTCTTTCCCTTCCTCCTCCCCACACCCCTCACTCACACCCTCCTCTCAAGCAAAAGCCCCCCAACCGGCCCCTTACACACAAACCCATCCCCCACACCCCTCTCAAAGACCTTCCTCCCTCTAACCCACGTCTCCCTCACCACACCCCTCATCCCCCTCCCCTGATACGGACTAACCTTATTCCTAAACAGTAGCTCCTCCCTCCCCACCGTCCACATCGCCCCATCATCAAAAACACAGATATCCGCATCCAACCCCGGTCTCAGCGCGCCCTTCTTATGAGCGAGGCCGACTTGGGCAGAGGTGTTGAGGGCCGTGAGACGGATGACGTCGAGGATGGTGAGGGGGGAGGAGCGGGTGTGGTTTTCTGTCCAGAGGATGGGGAGACCGAGGCCAACGGAGGAGATGCCGCCCCAGGAGGCGAAGAAGTCGCCTTTTTCTTGCAGGTCGGCTTCGGCTTGGGTGATGAGTTGGCCGTTGACGCCTTTGATTTTGGTGTCTGGGGTGGAGGGACAGCTGTGGCCGAGGTGTTGGGGGAGGAGTTTGAGCTCGGGTGTGCAGGGACTGTGGTCGGAGACTATGGTTTGGATGACGGAGTTGGGTGAGGAGAGTTCTTTCCAGAGTCCGTCGCGATTGACGGCATTTCGGATGGGGGGACAACATTTATGGCGGGTGTCTCCATCTTCTACTTCCTCGCTGGCGAGAGCTAGGTAGTGGAAACATGTTTCTGCTGTGATCTTTACGCCTTTGGCGCGCGCGGCTTGGAGAATGGGTATAGCTTCTACGGCGGAGAGATGTACGATGTGGAGTTGGAGTTGGGGAGCGAGGTGAGAGAGAGAGAGGATCTCTTCGATGGCGTAAGTTTCGAATGCGGGGGGCCGGGAGGAGAGGAATGTGTTATATGAGGAGAGGGGACCAGAGGGTACAAGTGGTGGAAGGGAAACCTGTACGTCGTCGCCTACGGAGGCGGTTATTGGGGGGATCATTTCGGCGTGGAACATGAGGGTTGTATTGGATGTGGAAAGGGTTTTCATGGCGAAGGCTACGTCGGAGGAAGAGACGGCGGGGAATTCATCGACCTGATGTATGTCAGTGTTTATTTTGTGTTCTACTTTTTTATGTAGAAGGGAGTTCTTACACCACTTTCTATTAAGAAACCTTTGAATCCACGGACACCCCCTTCGATTAGGGGCAGTAGCTGATCAGCATTTCCAGGAATTATTCCACCGTAAAATCCAACATCAACCCAGCATTGACCTTTGGCTGCTTTGACTTTCTCCTTCAGTCCTTCAACAGTGGTAGTTGGAGGAATGGCGTTCAAAGGCATATCAATAACAGTTGTCACACCCCCCGAAGCCGCAGCTCGCGTACCCGTATGGAAACCCTCCCATTCTGTACGACCAGGTTCATTCAGATGTACATGAGCATCCACCAGGCCCGGTAATAACAAGTGAGGAGAATGGTCTGTATACAGGGTATTCGGGGGAAAGCTTTCGGGTGGAAGAATGATAGGTAGAATCGATATAATGGTTCCCGTCTGTGGAGAGATTGTAATCGTCGCGGGAGAAAGTATTAGATTGTTATTCTCGTCACAGATCACGGCTCGACTGGAGACCAGAACGGTGAGAGGGTTGTTGGCATGGTGAGGTGGTGTAGGAGCGGGTGTTGGGTAGGGAATTTGACTCGAGGCAGTGTTGAGCGCCATGGTAGCGGGATTTGAACTATTCAGGGATCTTGTTTACACCTCCAAGATAGCAGAAAGAAGAATTGAGGGGTAGAGAAGTATGGAGGAGGCTCTAAACAACAGATTGAGGGATGGAATGTGCTTATCGCAGTGCATAGAGGGGCGAGAGATAAGAAAGATGATAGCAGAAACGGGAAGCTGATAAGAGCTTGTAAAGGCCCAACTTGGAGTCTTTTTTTCTTTGAACAAACTGACGGTGGAGAGGAATACAGGACGGAATCTGGGGAAGAAGAAGCAAAGAAAGAATCCCAACAATCCGATTGTGGGGTGCAGACAGCCTCAACGCCAGCATCAGCATCAGCACGGGCAGATCTTAATGCACTTGCACCAGCATCTGAAAAGGGAAATGTCAACAACCAAGCAAGCAGATCCCACCAACCACATCCACATGCTTATCTTGCGGTAACTCCCTATCGCGGCAGAAGCCGGGTGCCCCTATCCACCTGTGAATGGCTGTATAAAGCATCAAACTTCTAGAGCCGCCTAGAACAATGTCTAAAGCTGCCATGCGCGGATTGCAGCAAAATTCCCCGCAAGTAGAATGTGGAGTTTTGACATTTTGGCGTGCCGGATTGTAGTCGTGCGACAGCTAGAAGGTTGCTTGCTGTAGCTGTCCTACGTACAGTACAGCCCGCCCCGGCAGGAGCTCGGCATCAGCACAGTATGTAGGCGGAATTGACGATGTCTGGATACATCAGTAATCATTCTCAGATTATCGAGTAATACGTATCTGTGATGGATACTGCTTGGACGTGGGGTCTCATTGTCTATCGCTGGTGTTTACCGGTTGATGTCGTTGTTCTGCGTCCAGTGCTGATTTTATTCAGGCGAGTTCCGGTGTTGGTGTCAGCAAGCATGTGCCAGAATAGCGCTAGCCGGAGACGACCTCAAATCACTCAACACTCCATCACTATTCGAATCCATCACGGAAACCGATGAATTAATCGATGGATCTCATAGCATGTCGAGCCCACGCCAAGCCCAGGATTGCTCTATTGCCTTATAGATAATTCGTCGAATCAATCATGGAACTTTGCTTCCTCCTGGAGGCGGCGGTGAACATTTGGGAACTGCCATGAGAGCTGCGATATGTTTCTGATTCGTCCGGCAACGAAAAAGTTGTATACATCTATGACGTCCTCAGCGACACACGAATCGTTTCTCTCTCGTTAAACTCTTCATATTTCGAGTTGAGAACATCTGATGGTCCAAGTAGCAGCCAATTCATCAAACTTCGCTCTTGATATTTCAGTCCAAGAACTTACTGGTGTTTTTGTTAAACATGATTTCATCCTTCATATTCAGACGTCCTTGAAAGCTTTATTTAATTCTTCGCCAAGGTCGGGACAATTGGAGAATGCAAATGTTCTGAGGTGAAAGTCATATATTGATGATCATGAATATATGTGCTAGACGTTCCGTAAATCTTACTGCTAGGTAAGATTCTTCTAGCAGGTATTACAAGTCGCAGTAGATAGCTTATTTGTTGTTTTTATCTTGTAACGGATAGATTTGATTATTCTTCAAACCCAAACCCTCATCAAATCCACCGTTTTAGAGATATGTGCTAACATTCATTAGAAATTGGAGTATGGGTAGTCGCTCGGAGTATAGACGGGTAGGACAGCGAAGACTACCACTATTATCGGTATTACTCAGCAGTCATAGGACTGCGATGATGTATCGAGTCCTATCTGGTGGGATCTAATTACATGGAGAAAGGCAGTAGGAAGCTAGCTACGCTGCCTACACTTGCCTCCAGGGCTGGATATGCCACATACCAGGTCACGTGGATACAGCGACAACTACGTTAAAGCGAGTGATTGGTAAAGCCAACCCAGTCTCATCTATATAGCGAGGGCGGGGTGATTTCTGGTGCTTGCTGTGTTTGTGTCACTCCGCTTAAGTCGCAGAACGACCTCCCCAAGAAAAATTCACCTTTTCATGCCGTCATTCCTCTCCGCCTCGACCATCTCAACCTGCAACACATCCCAAATCTCAACATCAATTATTGCATAGCGCACCTCCCACCTCCAATCTGAGATACAGCTAGATGGCGACAGACCTGCTACATTCAGATCTCCGCAAGGAGGACATGCCCCCGCAATTCACTCGCGCAAAGAGCTATAGTCCTGAACGAATTGACTATGGTCAACCCCCCAGTGAACAGCCAGATGATACTCTTGAAGCTGGCCAGCAGGGACCTGAGAGCAACCCAGCGAGGTCTTCATCATCCTGGCAAGATACAACTAAGATCGAGGCTTCGCAAAGTTTCCCGGGATCTCAAGTAGACACTCCTTTGTACGCAGCCCCCTCAATCAGCGCTGAGAAGAGTCGACCAACCACTGGACTTCAAACCCGTCGAAGCATCTCGGTCCCCACGCTAGATAAAGAAAGCCAGCAACCTACTTTGCAGCGAGCGGATTCTGAGATTAGCACTCTTGCAAAGACCCTCGATAGCCTTACCATCCAGAAGCGTCAAAGTCCACCACCCATGGGGAAGACTAAAGCTGTAAATACGATCAACGCCAGGTTCAGCCGATTCAGTTCTGCCAATCCACACATGTCGCAGCTTCCTACAAGAACTGCATCATGGACGGCTGGTGCGACGAGTCCTGATGCTAAGATCGATGAGGCTATCAGGAAGATTATGTGTTTTATTAATGATGTTCTTCCTACGCACATGATGATTGTTGATCTTGAGTTTCGAGACGCGAAGATGAAAGAGTTCCTTGACATGAATAAGGAAATTGTGCGTACGTGGCGCAGTCACCAAAATGAACTCTTCCAGGGTACAGCTGGGGAGGTCCTTCGTACGAAAGTGGATGCGATGGATGTGATCATCGCCAAATGGACTTACGAAACCCATGAAAATTGGTTGATGAACGACGCTGGCATCTTAATGGATCGCAGTGTTTCTTTTGGAAAGGAGTGGGAAGCTTTGAATAAGAAGGACTTGGGAGCTACGGCGTATTGTAAGAATCATCCTGCGAATCAGACATCATCTGGGGAAAGTTTCGAAAAGATGGAGTATATTCAGCCCAAGACAGTGGTCGAGAAGAACAATGAGGAGGGAGCTGAGCATAATAATGATAATTGGTCCGAGTCGACAATGGGTAAGTTACCAGCCCCCTCACTTATAGATATCTATTGTATGCGCACAACAATAGGAAGCTAACCATACATAGGCTCTCCAGAAACATCTTTCACCACAACTCCATCCATCGAAAAGTCACACCAAAGAAACTCTTCTGCACCTCTCAGATTCCTAACCCGATCCAATACTCTACCCAGCGTTGAAGAGAAGCCTGAAACCTCAACTTTCAAGTCAACTCACACAAAATCACTCGAACTCACAAAGGTCAACGAGCGATTTGACAAGATCGAGCACCTCTTGAGCGAAGTAACCAACACCATCGTCAAATCATCCCAATCAGCTATCGACGAGGATACAAAAGTGCACAAACGATTGAATGATATCGAACGCACCTTGAAGCAAGTTTCCCATTCCGCGGCTCATCCAATCATCCCCGAAGACACACAACTCCACGAACGACTCGACACCATTGAACAGACCCTGAAGGAAGTTTCTGATCGTAAATCAACTCCAACTGTCAGCACCGAAGACAAGAGATCACGAGAGAGACTTGACAATATCGAGCGCATTCTGAAGCAGTTTCCAATTCAATCCCTTACCGAAGCAGCCAATATGCAATTACTTTTGTTGCCCGAGGTCCACGAGGCCATCTTTGGCGAGTGGGAGAAGAAGAGTCCTGACCAGAAAGTAGAGGAGCGTGCATGGGCTAAGAAGACCGGTCTCTTGATGATGGCAAAATACTTTCAAGAGTGGAAGGACAAATATAACCAGGAGTATGGACAAAAGATTGCAGGTTTGGATTGCGATGGTAAGTGACCCCTTCACCTTCAAGCTCTGTTTTGTATGCAAACAACCAACTAACATACTCCCCACCAGTCCGCGGCAAGAAATCAACATCCCTACTCAACAGCTTTCTGCGTATCGAACAGTCCCTCGCCTCCCTCACCCGCCTTACCACCAAGTTATCAACCGATCTAATTACCACTTCCCAACACAAGGAACCAACCTCCCTCCCTACTCCCGCCATCACAATCACCGAGCCTGAAGCACGACTACCATCCGAAACCACAACCATCACCGCCGCACTCGACAAACTCTACACTCTCCTCCACCTCGCCACCTCACACAACACCCAAGAACTCCTCCGTCAAGAGAACGAGAAGTTGAGAGGCGAGATCGGAGGTTTGAAAAAGGGACTCGAGGCCGCGATCTTCACTCTCGCTGAGAAGGAGAGCAAGGAAAAGGATAAGAGCTGGATTGAGGAGGCGTGGGAGGAGGTCTATGGGGGCTTCTGGCCACAGGGTGAGCCGCTTCAGGAAGATCTTGAGGGTGGTAGGAAAATTATGGCTCTGCCTGAGGATGATCTTAAAGTTACTGGTGACATGGTCAAGATCGAAGAGTCGCCTCAAGAGGAGAAGAAGGATGTACTCGACAGCACCGGTGGCATTTCATTGAACAGAATCGACGAATCACCCGAGCTCCTCAAGATTCCCGACGAAATGCTGAAGACTATGATCAACAACCCCGACAGAGTAGGAAACCAAGCTGGACGCGGAGGCGGAGGCGGTACAGGAACAGGAAGTTGTATGGTCATGTAGGTGACTTTGTCATACTTACACCCGTACTTGCACTTTGCTTCACAGAGCACGATATGAGTTTATGACTGATGTTTCTCTTTCCATTTCTCTTTTCCGGCTATTGGCGCAGGATTTTATTCTGGACCTTGGCTTTGACTTTGGCTTTGCGAGACCCATCTGTTTTCTTTTTGCTTTTGAAGATATGGGGTCTGAGGTGGATACAAGCATATCTGTGCTATTGATTAGCAGACATGTTCGGGCTTGTTCTTGCCAGGGGTCGAGGATGTAATAGTTGTGCCTTGCGGTAATTTGTACATAGGATCAATTCAAGCTTTAGCGTAATCTTACCTTTTCTTTGCAATCCAAGTGATTCGACCATTTACATAAAGACCCCATATGGATCTTTACAAGAGATGATGAATAACCTCGCTCAATAGACTCAAACATGTGGCGCAGTCTAAGTTGCCCTTCGGAGATACGTCCTATTCACGATAAAGCCATATCATCTCATCTAGACATCCGTCTCTGAGCAGTACTCAGCTCATTTATCTAAGATCATACCTTGAAACTATGAAAGGCTATATACGCTCCCCATGATTGGTCAAAATACGAAGCCGCTTTTGCACCCTCGACCTCGGTGTTAATGTTTCCGAGGGCTATGGCTATAATGAGGCCAAACGCTAGTCTTTGAAAACGTGGAAAGAAGATTGGGAGGAATTCGGTAAAGGATGCCTGTTCTTGAAAATATGGTTGAGGTTTGTGTAATATGGAATATGGGATATGGGATATGGGACTTCACTGTTGTGGTCGGAAGCTCTTTGTGGGAGACTTGTATTAGATGAGTGTGGGAGGTAAGAGTATAATGGTCGTTTTCCTGTTAGTATGGCCACAACTACAATGCTAACTTTTGGGCTTGAATACGGTACAGGACGGTGTATAAGAAACAACAGTTCAGTGCTGCAATGCTGTCTTGATACATTGGTAGACAACAAGTATTTCTCTTTTCGAGAATCTTACCCTATATTATTGGTCAATACAATAGGTCATATTGAACTTCGAAGCTGATTGACAGGGGTATACATTGCCCCATCTGTACTAGCGCAGAAGTAAACATAGCCACAAAACAATGATTAGTAACGCCAAGACCACATCCAGCTTTTGCCCTCCAGAGAAAAAAAACAAACGGTGGTGATAGAGCTTAACCCCGCCCTCTCAAGCGCGTCCCATCTCGATTCTTCAACACCCCGCTTCAAGGTTTTATTGTCTATAAATAAGAAATGGAACACCTACCAATCTCCCACCCAAGATGAAGAAATCAGATTCTCGCGCGTCAATTGCTGAATCTGATAGTGCGACGAGTAGGAAAAGTGAGAAGAGAGCTTCTGGTATGTTTTTGTTTTCTTGAATATCTGATTACGTCAACACCCCCCCTCCCCCCTTTTCAACAGCATCTTTTCTTTTCCACCGAGATGATGTGGAAATGAGATAAGACACGATACTAACTCGTATCTATTGGTTTAGTGACAGACGTCCTCGCTTCACTCAAGCGCTTCTCCAGTATCGAGGGTACTAGGCCTCATTCCGACGTGTCTCGTCGTCAGAATCCTAATCCGTCGGGATCGATGGCTGAGAGGCGGTTTCCTGTTATTCCTAGCAATCCAAGTGACCACTTCAATAATCGGGCTACGGCTAGGATGACGGATGCTGTGTTGACTCAGACGAGACCTGAGAGTAGTGGGAGCGTGTTTACGGGTACTGTTCCGAGGAGAATGAAGAGTGAGTCTGTTGCCTCGTGGTTGGGAACTGATCGTGGTGCGGGATCGAGAAGAGGGAGTGCTGGGACGGTGCTTACTGGTGATGGGAGAGCGAGGTTGAGAAATAGGGGGAGTGCTGAGTTACTTGGGTATGTGTTTACGTCTCTGTCCCACTACTGAACTCGTCAATTGTCGCTTTCAATGACATTCTGGATTTATCTTATCAGCAGGAACTCTGCTAACTTACTTTAAGCCAAACAGCTACTTCAAAAGAGTCCTCAATCCACCAATCGCGTCCAGAATCTATCACGACCACTTCGAAACCGTATTCTTTCTATCCTTCAGTCCCACCAACGACTACAGCTCCTCCCAACGAACCTTTCATCCACGCCTCTCACCCATCCTCAACCACAATCACTTCCAAAGAACCATCCATCCACCCATCAACCTTCTCCAAAGATCCAACTCCACACAACTCCCGCCCATCCACAACCGCAACAACCATCCACCCCCAACCCCCACCACAAGCCAGAACAACCGCCTCCAAAGCCCGCCCAAGATCTTACCTCCACGCTGCGGGGCTCTCAGACACTAATGAACTCGTCAGCTCGAGAACAATACCCAAAATAACCAACTCCTCCATCCCTACCGCACCACGGGAACCTCCCAGGATCTTCAGCAAGCACAATAACAACGCGTCTACAAACACACTAGGAAAAACCTCGACGAGAACATTGACCAAGATCTCCAACTTCATAACGATGGAGCCCGATCAGCCGCCAGCAGCTAGTATCGAGCTAACGCCTTTAAGCGCCATCATCGCACAGTCTCGACGGGACATTCAAATCCTAAGGGTCCTGAATGCGAAGAGTCAAGAAGCCGCGATGGCAGCCGAGGAAGCGACGCAGGGAGACTCGAAGGGCGAAGGAAACGGGATCATAGGTATGGGACGGAGTTTATTGAAAACCATGTCGTCGATAGGAAATATGCGGAAGTCCAACCAAGCCGGAGACGTGAAGAACGCAAGATCTGGTGTTGTAAGAAAGACACAAAGTACATCTCAACTCTCGCAAGGAAGGCGGGGTGTAGGGGAAATGGAGATGAGAGAGAGAGAGCCGGAGAAGGAAGTGGATTACGATAAGATTGAGAGGAATCTGGAGAGGTTTGAGGATCTTTATGAGGCGTTTTTGAAGTTGGAGAATACGGGTGGGGAGAAGAATGAAGGTGTGTTTTTCTTTCATCCCTATCCATTATCACCTACACCTTCCACTCTACTGATTCTTAGCACGAATTGCGAAGTAGAGTTACTATACTTACTTCCTCGCACATCACACATACTAACACCCCCCAGAAGTCCACCTCGTAACCATCGGCTCCAAACGCGGCGAAGTCGTCCGCGGCGTCCGACAAGCCGGCGGCATAAAGGGGAACAAAATTCCAGCCCGGGAGGTGGTACCCGTTGCTCCGCGTGTGATTACCGATTGTGGGATTTGATATTTCTCTCTTTTATTTTTTATTTTTTCGAAAATGTTGAGTTTGTGAGGACTTGTCGAGAATTGCTTAAAGGAATGAAATTTGTAGGAGGGATATGACGGACTTGGCTTGGCTTCGCTTTGCTAAAGAAGAAAAAGATGATGAAGGCGTGTCTAGACTTGTTGCAAGTGGAGGTGATGATAGGAAGTTGAATGTCCCTGTTTTGATGGCGGTAGCTAATTAGCAGGATGCTGCTGCTGTAGATAGCTGGAATGTAGGGAGGTGTTGTCTGTCAGTCTGGATTAGTTTGGTAGAGAGGTAGTAATAACGATAGAGGAATTGAAATTGTAAGATAGCCACTCACCATATGATGTCTAAAGATGAAATTCCAAGGCCCGCTTCCGTATCACTGAGTAGTTCTCCTACGGCATCCTGAATGTACTAAAAGGTCAGATAGAGTAAATACTAATTCGCAAATCGCAAATCGCAAAAGTCATAAATTTACATATTTACTACTACTGTGCCAGAGTGCCTATACCCCCACATCCCACGTGTTTTAAAAATTAAGATGGGGGCCTGATTATATAAACTCGCTACCTACTATCGCACCCTTACTATCGTATCTTTACTATCGTATCCTCACTGTCGCTACGTCCTTACTATCATATCCTCGCCGTCGCCGTCGCTGTCGCTATCGCTGTCGGAAAGAAAGAGAACAGAAAGTAAGGGGGGGAGAGAGGGCAGACACGTAGTAAACAATTATTAGCGCAACACGTGCTAGCCTAACCTCTTTAGGAAGGTAGTAATCGGGGACTAGGAATAAGCGACACACACAACTGAAATATTTCCACGCTTCTGTCCCTCTCTCTCTCTCTCTCTCTCTCTCTCTCCCTCTCTCTCCTAAACAACACACTAGGGCAAAACCCTATCCGACAGCGAGGATGGACGACAGTAAGGGTAGGCGACAGTAAGAGTACGCCAGTGAGGGTGCGCCAGTAAGGGTGCGCTAGTGAGGTTACGACAGCAAGGGAACAGGCAGTCAGGGTGTCTACGTAAAAATGCCTAGGCACGTGAAGTCTAAGGTGGGGGTATAGGCACTCTGGCACAGTAGTAGTAAATATATGACTTTTACGATTTGCGATTTGCGAATTAGTAGTAAGTCTATTCGGCCTTTTAGTATATTCAGGATGCCGTATTTCCTTGATCTTTTCTCACACCTCATCCTCTTGAGAATTTATATGTAACACCAAAATCCCAGCATCCGAAACATTGAGAAGAAAGAAATCAGACTTCATTGATTATTTTCCCTCCAAACAGGTCATACGCCCTCCACCGTAACAATGATTTTCACTTACATACGCAAACCCATCCATCCTCCTGAACCATCTGCCAGGCAACCCTCAAACCTTTTCAACCTAACAATTCCCATCTCACGATCTCCCCCCCTCATCCGCCAAAGAAAGAGAAATCCACTGTCTATGCGTATGCAAGACACCAACCCCAAACCCCAAATCTCTAAACCCAATTCTCAATCTCAACCAATCCATAGCTTAGCCGTATCTGATTTGCGAACCCGACGCAGAAGCAATTTTCCATCGAATGAATGGTGGTCCGTGAAGTGTTTGTGAGATTGTGAGGCGTGCGAAATCAAGTCCGGAGGTTCGAAGGAGAGGAATGGTACCTTGGCGGTTGAAGGAAATGGTTCTGTTGAAGTGGACTGAACTGGGGATGTTTTGTTGTGTGTTTTGTGAATGAAAGACGAGCAATTGCAAAGAGATACCCGAGATGCTCCGCTTGTGTATGCATGTATGCATAAGAACATACATCCATCGACTCCACTATCAAAAGAGAAAAGAAACATCGATAGGAAAAAAACAAAAGGAAAAAAATAGGAAATAAACCCCTCGCTCCCTCGTACTCTCCCCAAAATCCTCATCGATCGATCCATGATCCACTTATCCAGCCCTCCATCCTACCATCCACATAACACCTAATCTTACAATCATACTCATCTACGTCTCCCACCAAACGCCCCACGACCCCTCGGTTCGGGCGGGGTAACCGTAGGCTCGATATGATAGGAGTAGGCGCTATACTGTACGTGTGGGTTTGGGTATTAGTACTTGTGGTCATGTTTAGCACATTGTTTTCTTTTAAACGATAATGATAGCAAGGAAAGGGAGTTGGGGAAGGGAACGAGAAAGGGAGTTGGAGGTTTGAGGTGAGAGTAAGAGTACGTACCTCGCGACCTGCTCGGGTGGTGCGGTAGCCGAAGGAACTGTAGTCTATGCTGGGTTCTTGAAAGACGTTCTGAGGGGGTGTTAGTTAGGTTCTATTTGGGATGACAGGAGGAGGAGACTTACGACGTAAGGTAACTCTCCCGAGTCACTCGTTGAGCTTCCTGGGTGTTCTCGTGGTGTGGTCGTGGTTTGTTCCTCATTCTCTCCCTGTGGTCCTTGTGTTGATTGTCTTGCCTGCTCGTGGGGTGGTGGTGCCATATCCATCGAAGCAGGTTGCGAAGATCTTCTCTCCTTCGTCTTTCCCTTGGGGGTTGACTTCGACTTCGACTTAGACTTTGCTTTTCGTCCTGGGTCGTAGTTCGCATCGCTGCCGCTGCTGCTTGCCTCGAACTTGGTTTCGACCTGTCTCTTACGGATGCTCGCTGGAACTCGTGCATTCATATCGTTTGCCTGGACAGTACTGGCTCGGCGTCTTCGTGCACCAGTTGGAGGAGGGGAAAGAGAGATTTTCGTTTGCTTTCTCTTTCCTAGCTTGCCCTTTGCGGAGAGGATTGGTTCATCGTCTTCTTCTTCAGAAGAGCTACTTGGGCCTTTCTCAACTCTGATTCGTGCAGGTCGCTTAGTGGCGGGTGTTGGGTTCAGAGTTTTTGATGAGGCAGAACGAGGTTTGGTCATGTCAGCGCCGGTAGCGACGGCGATGTCACTGGCTGAATACAAGTCGTCCTGGTCGAGTTCATCCTCCACGTCGCCTCCGAAGACTGTAGCTGCTGCTTCTTCGTCTTCTACCTTGTAGCAAGGAGGTGTTCGAGGGGAACGAGGTGCTTTGGCGGAGGTGGTGGTGGTTTCTCGCTTGCGGTTGCGGCGGTCTTGAACTTCATCGTGGCCTTTGGATTCCTTGACGGCTTTGCTTGAGAATGATTCCTTGGGGGTTTTTGTGATTTGCTTTGGCGGCTCAGGAATTTCTTCCTCGTCGGAATCTTGTTTAGCGCGTCGGGTTGGGACCTTCTTCTTTGTCTTCTTAGGTAGCTGTGGTTTTTCGATGACCTCTACCTCATCGGAGTCTGGTACGATGCGAGAAGTCGGGACCTTCTTCTTCGATTTCCTAGCGGGCTTCGGCTTTTCGATAATCTCCACCTCATCAGAATCAGACTCAACGCGAGAAGGTGGTGCATTCTTTCTCGACTTCCTAACAGTCTTTGGCTTCTCAACAACAAAATCCTCATCCTCATCATCCGTAATCCGGCAAACAGCAACAGCACCCTTCTCCGTCTTCTTAACCGTCTTCGGCTTCTCAACAAGTGTATCCCTCCGACGATGAACGACAGCCCTCAGTTTCTTCGTCGGCACCACCGCAGCAGCCTCAGAATACGGATTAAACTTCTTCTTCGTCTCTTCCCACTGTCGAACCTCATACGCATACGCATCCGGATACTTCCTCGGCTCACGCACATGGATCGTCACAATGGACGCGAGCTTCTCAGCACTCAAAGCGATTCGACGGGTAGGACTATTATGAAAGGCAGCAAACCACTTCAACATATCAGTTAGTAACGCACTACCACAACTCTCATCATACATCCGCGCCACCTCCCTCGCCTCATCCTCCGTCATGTGGAGGTGCACGGCGAGCGTCTCATGCGTCCAGGAGAGGACGTGAAAGCGTGCGTTAAAATACTGTGCCACCCTGCTCATAGAGAGCTCGTCCGTGACGTCGAGGTTCGACATGAATGCCCATGGCGGTTGCACGGTACGGTTGAAGGTGGGTTCATCCTCGTCTGGTAGATCTGAGTGCATCCAGCGGGAGTTGAAGGCTTCGTCCATTCTGGAGGACCAGCCGGCGCCACCTGTTTGTTCGGTGGTAGGTAGTGGTGTCTTGACGCGGTGTGTACGTTGTTGGTGGTCTCGATGGTAGTAATCAGGTTGCGGGGCGTGATCAAGACCCATTCTAAATCCCTCTTGAGGTGCGGACTTGCGAGCCATGCTGCTGTTAGTGTTGTTGCTGCGAAGTGTATGCTCGGTATGGTCTCTTGGTGTATTAGATGCAGCAAAAGGTGGTAGATCGATGCCGTGCTATGCAAAAGACATCTTGAGGATTGCAAAGTCGATGGTTGAAAAGGTGGAGAAGGGAGTCGAGGGATTTGGGGATTGATATTTTGAATTTGGACGCGGTGGGAAAGCCATGAGTGAGTCCCCTCATATCGGTATCCGGTATTATGGCAACCGACCCGCTCTTGTTTGGCCGTGAATACCCAACCAGGATCCTCTAAGAGACATTGAGCACTTTTCTGCAGGGATTCTGTTATGACAGCAATGAAAATAGATGTCAGAAGAGGTGATGCTGGTCCTGGTGCACATTATTTCTTTTGTGAGGCGGTGTGAATTGAGCAACTTAGCCAGAAGGCAAAGAGATAAGCTTGTTCCGCTGAAGGTGAACCTCTCATCTACCCCTCTTCTTGTGGTTGCTGTCAACGTAGACCATGGTAATCCCATTACTAAGTAGCGTTGCTGCCAAAACAAGTTTAAATACTCAATAACAATGCTTGACCTTCAAGTGTCTTGAGGGTGAAGCACACTACCACGTATGCACACAATCACGTATACCCTTAGACCCCGCACCATTTGAAACCCAACTTCTAATAATTAGCGCAGCTCTAAGATCACTATCAATCTCATTAAAACTAAACGTTCTGCTCTATGTTGAAGTTCTGTTGAAGTGATCACTCAAAAAGTTGTATGTGTACATGAGCAGACAGCCAAGAAAGAAGAGGTATCTGCTTAGAGACCACGCGTTTAGAACCCAAAGAGACGAATAACAACTGTATAAGATTCTATCTCTTTGCTTTATATATGCGCAAACATGTCTTTTGCCCAAAAGGCAGATAGGTGCCGGTTGTTTTGCTGTTTTGCGGTTACCTCAGATCTCGCTTAGAGTCACGCCAAGCCCCACTTTACCCCTATCTATCCTCCGACCTCCGACTTCCGATAAGCTTTCTCTTTCCGTGACCTGTCACCTACAACTTTGCATAGCACGAGCTGGGCAGTATTATCATACATGATAGCTAACAAGGTCAAGAGCTTTGAAATTGAAAGTTCATACACAGAAGGTAGGTTTTCCTGCTAAGCGAGTCAATGACGGTAATATACTCTCGGTACCTGAGAAAAGCAGGAATCCCTTCCCTGGCCCATCTGCCGTGGAATAGAAACAAACATATCCAATGAATAGATCAAGGTCGTGAATTCAAGCTCTCTTTCATTCCAACATTTTCTAACCTTAGAAGATTTCCCATCGTTCGAACATCCGCACTTTCTTCGCTTAATAATGATAGCTATTTTAAAAGATCAATGCAGGTAATTGCCTGCTATTGATACTTATCATTTCTCGTAATATCTGACGGGGGTACTGCGTTAAACCACTCGCAGTTTGTATATCATCGAAGTTGTTGAAGAGCGTCATAATTCGTGCCCTTGGGCTTCGCCATTCGTTTCCGTAGACAAATCATATTTATATCGCATAACGATCGTATCTTCCAGAAGACCAACACTTATCCACTGTATTTGAATTCACCTTTTGCATCATCTTTGCTCCTCTTTGCGGTTTCCTTGAGCCCGTAAAGTGTTGCTGGCATGCGAACCTTTCATTTTACTTCGGCATACTCATTTGAGAACTTAGAGGCTGACCCTTCCTGAAATCCCTCTTCAGTGTTTCCTCCTTGATGATAGCCTAGAACCCTCTATTGTAGCGCAATACGCTATGCTTGCGAAGTGGGCCTCCTGCGAGTGGAGGTTGTTATTGAGGTACGAGCGGTCATACAGGACAATATTTCTTTTGGCTTCTCAACCGTTTATCTCCACGATATATTGTCGAACTGGAAGGTACGGCCGTTGTTTCCTTATCTGCCTTGATCGTATGCTTGCTGGGATATTGGATGAGAGCCCATAGGGACCACGCTCAAATCGAGGTTTGTTCTGGTTGCGGATTTATGGGGGGGATGGCTTCAGCGATCTTCGAAGCGGTGCTCTCTTTTTGAATCATATACTTGCTTAATTGCCCTGGCTAAGTATCAGACGATTAGCATACGTTCTTGAATTCATAGAAACACGGAAAGGAAGATGGTTGCACTTCTTTGGCATTTCCTCCTATGCCCACCGTCTTCATCTCCTCTCCGGGGCCAGGTACATCAGTAATCTCTTCCAGAATAAAGGTAGCAGCCCTCTGGTAGTCGGTGGTATGGTAGGTGACATCCTGCCCGCTGATCAAATTAAGCAGAGTGCCGTGAGAAAGACCAAGATAGTTGGAGCAAGTGGATAGCTTGTTAGCCCGCACCCGTTGTTGTCAATGAGGAACAGAAAACCGATTGGGATGATATATGGGTATGAGAAGATGTTTGACGAGAGGCGGCCCGGGGAGGTTGGAGTCTCGAGGAAAATAAAGGTTAGTAAATGGCCTGAGCTCCCAACAAGGCAAGCGCGACCACATCCGTACCTGCCGTGAACGCAAGCGCTTCTTGAGAGCTCTTTCTGATCCTCGGGCGAGTAAGCTGCAGCACACCACGATAGAAGTAATCTGTTCTTCGGTGGCTCTTTCGGTAGGACTGATTTCCGAACTAAATATTTATCGTGATGAATGATTACTGAGCATTTCCATGGCTCTCCACATCATGACTGCTTGCGCGAACATACCTTCTCAAGTTTAGCTTCCATTAAGCTTCATCCTGCGTATCTAATATTATTCTTGCACAGAGCGCAAGCCGCGGTAGGTGTGAGAGAGAGAGAGTTGTTGTAATCTTTTGGAGTGCCGCAAAGCCACGTATTGGAGAACTCTTCATCCGCGATGCGGCCTCGTACGTACTTTTGTGACTTATTTTGTACCTGATTAGGGGACTAGAAATTGCTCGAGGTTTTATGTCCGTGCATCTTTATTTATTTATTTATTACTATTTAACGTCAGGCGGAATCTAACTCGCGTGGGCTAGGTCCTAAAAGTCCCATTGTTGGGCAAATGACGCTAGGGGGGTGCCCTAGGCTACAGGGGGTGTAAATGAAAGTGCGCTAATTTACAAGAGATAGTTTAAAGAGAAGCCCCACTTCCGGAACAGCTCTCATTCTGAGTTGGTTTAAGAGCCAGAGTAAAAATAAGTTAACAGTGTACAAGATAGTGAGTAGAGAACAAGAGAAGAACTATATAAGACAGAGACCAAAGAACAGTAGAAAG